AATCAGGAGGCTCCCGCGGCTGGGAAGGTCCTTCCAGAGGACTGAGGGGTCCCCGTCCCACACCAGGTGCCCCGTTCAGGGTTCCAGTGCCAGGAAGAGAAGTCCCCATAACTTCCGGCTGGAAAAACCAGCGGAAACTGAGGCTCAGGGAAGCTGACCTGGCTGGAGCCACAGGCAGCTCCCTAAAGGGCCGGCGCACGAACTTATCGGACTCTCTCCCTCTAAGCTCGGAGGGGAGGCAGCTCTAGGGGCGCCAGAGACATACAGGGAAGAACTGAGCTGTTTGGCACTGGAGCGAGCGCTGGAGAGGGGGCTTCCTCTGGGACAAACGTGCTGTCAGAGGCCTTTGTTCCTTTGGTGAGCCCTTCCTGGGGCGGCAGACAGAAGCCACATCTGGGACTCCAGCAACCTGGCTCACACTGGTAGCCCCGCCCTGCTGACTCCCTGAGGCCCCGCCCCGCCCCACACAACTTTCAAGTTCACCCAAGCTGTTGCCACTTGCTTAACCATAGGATTCGCCAGTCTTGGATCCTGCTTCAGGTTTTTCCTAAATTCTTTCAAACGAGCAGCATCTGGTCTCAGCGAGCCCCATACCTCTCATTAAGTAATACACAGAAACAAACACAGGGAGGCAGCCAAAATGAGGAGACAAAGAAACAGGTCCCAAATGAAAGAACAGAACAAAACCCCAAGAAAAGAACTAAGCGAAAGGGAGATAAGCAACCTAACAGATACTGAGTTCAAAATACTGCTTATAAGGATGCTCAATGAACTCAGTGAGGGCCTCAAGAGCATAAAAAAGGACCAGTCAGAAATGATCGATGCACAGTTAGAAACGAAGGAGGCTTTAACTGAAATAAAGAATAATTTACACAGCTTCAATAATAGAGTACGTAAATCCAAGGAGCAAACCATCGATTTGGAATATAAGGAAGCAAAAAACGCCCAATCAGAACAGCAAAAAGAAAAAAGAATCCAAAAAAATGAGGAGAGTGTAAGGAGCCTCTGGGACAACTTCAAGCGTGCCAACATTCGCATCTTGTGGGTGCCGGAAGGAGAAGAGCAAGAACAAGAAATCGAAAACCTGTTTGAAACAATAATGACAGAAAACTTTCCTAACTTGGTGAAGGAAACAGACATACAAGTCCAGGAAGCACAGAGAGTCCCAAACAAGATGAACCCCAAGAGGCCCACACCAAGACACATCATCATCAAAATGCAAAAGGTTCAAGACAAAGAGAGAATATTAAAAGCAGCAAGAGAAAGGCAGCTAGTTACCTACAAGGGAGTACCCATTAGGCTGTCAGCTGATTTCTCAAAAGAAACTTTGCAGGCCAGAAGGGAGTGGCAAGAAATATTCAGAGTGATGAAAAGCAAGAACCTACAACCAAGATTACTCTATCCTGCAAAGCTGTCATTTAGAATCGATGGACATATAAAAACTTTCCCAGACAAGAAAAAGTTAAAGGAGTTCATCACTACCAAACCGTTATTATATGAAATGATGAAGGGTCTTTTTGAAGAAAAAGATAAAATGTATGAACAAACAAAATGGCAATGAATACATATCTATCAACAATGGAATCTACAAACAAAATGAAGAGGAAGAACAGGAACATTCTCATAGATACAGAGAACATTTTGTTGGTTGCCAGTTGGGAAGGGGGTTGGGGGAATGGGTGAAAAAGGTGAAGGGATTAAGAAGCACAAATTCATTGCTAGACTAACAAATCTCAAAGGGAAAGGGGTTGGGAGGGTGGGAAGAAATAAACCAAAGAACTTATATGCATAACCAATAGACAGAGACAATAGTGTGGGAAAAGGTGGGAGGGGGGCGGGAGTGGGGAGGAGGGGGTCAATGGGGGAAAAATGTGGAACATCTGTAATACATTTTTCATCCAACAATAAAGATTTGGGAAAAAAAAAAGGAAAAAAAAATTCCACCCTTCTTCAATAAATAATGAGGAAAAAATGGAATACCCTTTATTAATAAAAGATGTACTATAGCCCTGGCCGGCATTGCTCAGTGGTTAAGAGTGTTGGCCCAAGAACTGGAGGGTCTTGGGTTTGATTCCTGGTCAAGGGCACATAGCTGAATTGAAGGTTCGATGCTGGCCTTCGTCAGGGTGTGTACAGGAGGCAACCAATTGTCGTGTCTCTCTCACATCAATGTTTCTCTCTCTCTCTTGTTCTTCCCTCCCATCCACTCTCTCTAAGAACAAATAGGAAAAATATCCTTAGTTGAGGATTAAGAACAATAAATAAGTACTAAAGTTAACAGGCATGTGTGAGTATATCTACTAGAGATATTTTTGAAAAAGCAAATATTAGCAATACAAATACAATATATGAAAAGATAACATATCACCCCCCCACTGAATAAGAATCAATGAATGCATACACAAGTGGAAAAACAAATTGATGTTTCTCTCTGCCCTCCCTGCAACTTCTTCCCCTTTCTCTAAAAACCAATTATAAAAAAAAAAAAAAAAGAGATGTGCCCTGGCCGGTGTGACTCAGTTGGAGCATCATCCCTTGCACCAAAAGGTCTCTGGTTAAATCCCCAGTTGGAACATATATATGTATATATGAGGCATCAATAGATATTTCTCTATCTCTCCCTCTCTCTCTAAAAATAAAAATCAATAGAATAAAATAAAAAGATTTTAGTGATGTGACAGGTAACAATGCTGATCTGAGATACAATTTACTCTCAAGAAAAATTGTACTTGATTATTTCCTTATAAAGCTAGAAAGAACAGTAAGAATATTAGAAGAGCAATATAACTAAAACTGTTATTCAATAAATGTTCATTCAGTTTTGCTATGGATAAGACATTATCCTAGGTTCTGTGGAGGTACAAGATGAAGGGACACACTGTGAACTTATTGTCCTTTCTATCTTGTAATCAGAGAATGGGGGAAGGAGAAAAAATAAAGCTAGGTATAGGGGTGAGAGAGAGAGCGAGCGAGAGATACAAACAATATATACTACAAAGCAGACTGACATAACAGCAGTAGAAATATGCTTGATATGGGAAGATAGAATTTAATTCTGCCTGAGAGGAATCAAGTAACTACATGGATAGAATTTCACCAGGGAACATAGATGGGCAACAAGCACATGAGATGTCAGCAAAGCACAAATGAAATTTGTATGGATACATGACTGAATGGAAGGGATCTGATGGGGACACTAGAAACGTAAACTGGAGCAAATTCAAAACCATTAAGGATGGATGAGCAGAGGGTTGGCACAATTACAGTTATGTTTTATAAATACAGGCAGTACTGCCTGGCCGGGGTGTGGCTCAGTGAATTGAGCATCACCCCATGGACTAAGAGATCCTGGTTCAATTTCCAGTCAGGGCACATGCTGGGGTTTTGGGCTCAATCCCCAGTGGGGGACATGCAGGAGGCAGTGATTGATGTTTCTCTCTCTCTCCCTTAAAAAAAAAAAAAAATCAATAAAACATATGAAAAAAAGAAAAATATAGGCAGTACTCTAACAGTCAGATGAGAGGAGCTAAATGCAGAGAAGTTAAAATACTGTTAAAAGTCCAAGAAAAGAGAAAAAATGTTAATTACAAAACTGTATTTAGCCCTGTCCAGTTTGGCTCAGCGGTTGGAGCGTCGGCCTGAGGTACAGAGAGACCCGGGTTCAGTTCCCGCTAAGGGCACGTACCTCGGTTGCACTTTGTCCCCGGCCCTGGTTGGTCGTGCGGGTTGCAGCTACTCGATGTGTCCCTTCACATCAATGTTTCTCTCTCTCTCTTCCTCTCTCTCCCTCCCGCTCTATCTGAACAAAAAATGGAAAAACGTCCTCGGGTGAGGATAAAAAAAATAAAGTTAAAAACAAAAAACAGCCCTGGCCGGTTTGGCTCAGCGGTTAGAGCGTCGGCCTGCAGTACAGAGAGACCCGGGTTCGGTTCCCGCTAAGGGCATGTACCTCGGTTGCAGTTTGTCCCCGGCCCTGGTTGGTCGTGCGGGTGGCAGCCACTCGATGTGTCCCTTCACATCGATGTTTCTCTCTCTCTCTCTCTTCCTCTCTCTCCCTCCCGCTCTATCTGAACAAAAAATGGAAAAATGTCCTCAGATGAGGATAAAAAAAAACACAAAAAACTGTATTTAGAATTTAATCCTGTATTTATGGAAAAAAAATGCACATATTCCAATGAAAACTATACTCATCCACACAGAAAACTGGAAGAATATACAACACAAAAAGTCTACAGTGGGTACTAATGGTGATGGGACTATGAGTAGTGCTTAATTTCTTTTTTATAGTTCCTTTAATTTATGAGTTTCTTACAAAGACCATGATAGAAAACTATTTCTATTTTGAACAACAATAAAAGCTTGACGAGAGCAAAAGGCTGTTTTGTTTTTGTGGAGAAAGAAAGATAGTAATAAATCTGTTTTGTGTCTGTTCAGCTTGAGGTGACAAAAGGTACTGGGAAAGGGTAAGAAACATATACTCAGATTTTAGCTTTTTTTGTTTCTTTGTTGAGAGGGAATATATAATAATGTATACATTACAATACAATACATAAAAATTTCTTTACTTTAGCATAGGTTTATATAGCCATCCAACTGAGTTAAATATTAAGACTTATTTTCAATATTTTAGAACCTGTGTACTTCTAAAAGAGAGGGCAACTAATAAAAGTTGTGTAGGTTGAAATATATTTCGTACTTACTTACAAAGCTGCCTTAATGAATTAGCTCTGTTTGGAATAGTCTGTACCAATGTTTTCTCTGGCAAGTTAACCTTGTCCAGCCTCCCTTACTACCTTCATCCCAACCTGGAACAAGCAAATCAACAGTCATCCACCCACAATGGGTAGATAAAAGACTTAAAATAACTATAAACTATAAAAACACCCTCCTGCATGTTAGTCACAAGCATAATGGTCTTGTAAAGCCCCATATTAAATCATTTGTATTTACATTGAAAGAGCACATCTGGCCGAGAGAAGAGAACGCTATGGAAAACATACCCCATTAGAAGCTTTCTTCTTTGCTTTCCATTCATCCAGTTGTGCCTTTGTCTTTGCATCAACTTTAACAAGTAGTTTCTTCTCTCCAATCTGCAGGTCATGTAATAACCTGAGTGCACGGAGGGTAGATTCAGGTTCCTTATACTCACAGAATCCGAAGGCTAGCAAAAGATGTAAAGAATTAGTAAAATATCAATATAATTATGAAAGATGAATATTTATGAAAAATTAAAATCATTAGAGAACGAATGTTATACTATACAAGGATTATTCATGTTGTCAACCCTCCCTTTCCTTCAATTACCTTTGAAAAGGGTTTCACTTTTACACCCTCAACCAAAAGAAAATAGAGAAGACAAAAAAAGGGAAAGAAAAATTCTAATCAGGCAAACTGCTACTTATAAGAAGTGCTCATAAAATAGTTATCAAAATCAGAAAATGTCATGATTTAGTTTATTAGTTATGTCATGAATTCATTCCATTTAGACTTCCTAACAGCTACAAATAAGTGAGAACAGGCTGCTTCAAAGTAAACCCAGCACTTTTCTAAGAAGTTAAACTATAAAAGTAGTTGACTGGTGTGGCTCAGTGGTTGAGTGTCGACCCATGAACCAGGAGGTCGCCTGTTCGTTCCCCAGTCAGGACACATGCCCAGGTTGTGGGCCCAATCCCCATTTGGGAGCATGCAGGAGGCAGCCAATCGATGTTCTCTCTCATCATTGTTTCTATCTCTCTTTCCCTCTCACTTCCTCTCTCTGTAAAGTCAATAAAAGAAAAAAAAGTTAAAAAGAAAACTATAAAAGTAATGATCGCTTATACTACTCATCTAATTTTTTTTTTTTTAATACTCACCGGAGGACATTTTTCCATTTTTTCTTCAGGTAGAGTGGGAGAGAGAGGAAGAGAGAGAGAGAGAGAGAACCATCGACGTGAAAGGGACACAGAGTGTCTGCCACCCGCACGACCCAACCAGGGCCGGGGACAAACTGGAACCGAGGTACATGCCCTTAGCGGGAATCAAACCCAGGTCTCTCTGGACCGCAGGCCGACGCTCTAACCGCTGAGACAAACTGGCCAGGGCTCTTCTAATTTTTTAATTATGTTTTATTTTAATAGTCTCACTATTATTAACATATCTTTAAACCAAAGATATTTAAAAAGAGTAACCTAGCCCTGACTGGTTTGGCTCAGTGGTTAGACTCCTGGCCTGCAGACCAACGAGGTGTGGATTTGATTTTGGTCAAGGGCACATGTCCCCGGCCCTGGTCAGGTCGTGTGGGAAGCAACCAGTGGATGTGTTCTCACATCAATGTTTCTCTCTCGTCCTCCCTCCCACTCTATCTGATGATAAAGAGAAAAATATCCTCAGGTGAGGATTCAAAAAAAAAAAGAGTAACCTAGCTCTGGCCAGTTTGGTTCAGTGGTTAGAGTGTCGACCTGTGTATCAAAAGTTCATGGGTTCAATTCCCAGTCTGAGGCAGATACCTGGATTGCAGGTTTGATCCCTGGCCCCAGTTAGGACCGTGTAGGAGGCAACCATTGATGTTCGTGTCCCTCACATCTGATGCGCCCCCCCCCCCCTTTTGCTCTAAGAATAGAAAAATATCTTCAGGTGAGGATAAACAAAGAAACAATAACAAAGAATTACCTAAAACCTGAAAGTAAAATTAAACAAATGAATCCAAATATGTATATAGTTAGATATAACCATACAGAAAGAAACTATTCTGAGTGAAAGTAAAATTCACCATACTTCTTTTTAATCCTCACCCGAGGACACTTTTTTTGCCTTTATCTTCAGATAGAGCAGGAGAGAGAAATATTGACATGAGAGACACCCATCGACTGGTTGCCATGCACACAACCCCGACCGGGGCCGGGGACAAACTGAAACAGACGTACACGCCCTTAGTGGGAAGTGAACCCAGGATTATCTGGTCCACGGGCCGATGCTCTAACCGCTGAGTAAAACCGGCCAGGGTGACCCTATGTTTTTGTGTGACATGTCCTAAAAACAAAAAGATCTGTCAATAAAAAAAAAAATTTCAGCCCTGGCCAGTTTGGCTCAGCAGTTAGAGCATAGGTCCATGGACCAATGAGTCATGGGTTCGATTCTGGTCAATGGCACATACGTCAGTTGCGGTTTGATTCCTGGTCCAGATAGAGTGGGAGGCAGACAGTTGATGTGGCTTTCTCACAATGATATTTCTCTCTTTCTCTCCCTCCCTCCCACTCTATCTGATAATAAATAGAAAAATATCCTCAAGTGAAGATAACAAAAAAAAAAAAGAAAATTTCAGCCCAGTTGGTGTGGCTCAGTGGATTGAACGTCCCATGGATTGAGAGGTCCTGATTCGATTTCTGGTAAGAGCACATGCCTGGATTGTGGGCTTAATCTCCAGTAAGGGGAGTGCAGGAGGCAGCTAATTGATGTATCTCTCTCACATTCATGTTTCTCTCTCTGCCCCTTCTCCTCTATCTCCAAAAATATATATATCAATAAAAACATTTAAAAAGAAGAAATTTCAATAATCATTTTTGATGATAGTGTTGGTATTATCAGTCTGAAATTACTGTATGTGAAAAGTGAGGTGAAGCAAGCCAGTAATTATTTAAGAGTCTATCATCTCAGGTGTCTTAACTCAGGATTTTCAGTGTGGGAAAAATGAAATAAATATATGACAGAAAGGGTAAATAAAAACCTTTTAATCTTGAATCTGAATTAACGTACACTGGAAAGACTTAAGAACAAAGACCAAACCACTCTTATAGTCAGTACACCTAGTTCCAGATTGTGCTTCTGAAAGCAGTTTCCTACTAAAAGGAACCAGAGCTCCTTAGAGAAATAGGTGATCCCGAGTCTGAGGCAGAAAAACCACTAGACTGAGCTCAGAATATCTTGTCATTCCAGACAAAGCAGCCATCAAAGGCAGGGTTGTGTGAAAATCTAACTTGCAGGGGCAACTAACTTTTGACAGCTTAAGCTTCACAAGCAATAATGGCAATTAATCCATATTAAGTATAATAACAACAAACTGAATATGCTTAAATACAAAGGTATTTCTTTTAAAAAAAAGTCACCACTGCCCTGGGCCAGTTTGGCTCAGCGGTTAAGAGCGTCATCCTGCGGTCCACAGAGACCTGGGTTTGGTTCCCGCTAAGGGCATGTACCTTGGCTGCAGTTTGTCTCCAGCCCTGGTTGGGTCGTGTGGGTGGCAGCTACTCGATGTGTCCCTTTCACGTTGATGTTTCTCTCTCTCTCTCTTCCTCTCTCTCCCTCCCGCTCTACCTGAATAAAAAATGGAAAAATGTCCTCTGGTGAGGATAAAAAAAAAAAAAAGTCACCACTACATAATGGTGAAGACACAAGCTCATTCTTTTGAAAAATGAAATAAAAGAACAAAAGCATTTATCCTGTTTTGTTTTGTTTTTAAATATAAACTATACCTCTAAGAAACCAAATAGTAGATGGAAGGAGAAATATATCCTTATAGAAATACTCTACTAATTAGAGAAGAACCCTTATTCTCCAACAAAGGAATGTTAGAAATCTTCAAAAAAGGTTACTATATTATGCAACACCCAATGAATGAACCAACTTATGCATTGACAATCAACAGCTGCTACCATAAATGAAAAAAGATAACCCAACATGTCTCCTTATGGAAGAACATTACCTTTATAGAATTCTTACAAATAAAAGCAACAAAAATAACACAAACTCAAATGTGATCAAGTCTCAAGCTACAACTACCAACCAGTTTACATAAAATACAGAGGACAGAGATGCACGGTACATTTTTCTACTGGAGCTGCAATCAGCAAATTCACACTGAAGAAATACCACTGGGCAGCCTGGGCAGAGTGACTCAGTTGAGTGTCAATGTGTGCACAGAAAGGTTGACATATACCTGGTCAGGGCATATACCTGGGTTACAGGTTCCATGCCTAGTCCAGGGGTATACGGAAGGAATGCAACCAATATGTTTCTTTCTCACATGGATGTTTCTTTCTCTCCATCAACCCGTACCCCACCCCTTTCCTCTCTAAGTATGTCCTTGGGTGAGAATTTTAAAAAAAAAGAAAAAAACACTATTGGGCAAATTACATAATTTCTTCACAAATACTTGCAAGGAAAAACAGCAATAGTTAAAATATTAAGAGACTTTAAAATATGTCAACAGCCCTGGTTGGTTTGGCTCAGTGGTAAGAGCTTCGGCTGTGAACCAAAGGGTTGCAGGTTCAATTCCTGGTCAAGGGCACATACCTGGGTGGCAGTTTCAAGCACCAGTCAGGGTTGTGCAGGAGGCAACCAATCGATGTGTCTCTCTCACATCAATGTTTCTCTCTTTCCTTCCCTCCTTCCTTTCCACTCTATCTGAAAATCAATGGAAAAATATCCTCGGTTAACAACCACCCAGCAGGTGTGGTTCAGTGGTTGAGCATTGACCCATGCACCAAGAGGTCGCCAGTTCAATTTCCAGTCCGGGCACATGCACAGGATGTGGGCCCGTTCCCCACTGGGGACACGCAAGAGGTGGCCAACTGATGTTCTCTCTTACTGATGTTTCTATCTCTCTCTCCCTCTCTCTCTAAAATCCATAAAGAAAAAAAAATTTTTTTAAAAGAGGAAATGGGCAGGGTACAGGTTAAGCATGACTGGCCATAAGTTGATAGATGTTAAAGCTAGATAATGATGAATACCTGGGAGTTTATTTTATTAGTCTAATTTTACACACACACACACACACACACACACACACTTTATTCCATAATGTCCCATCTTGATCATACACTCCTGCTCTTAGAAAAAAAGGACTTTGTAATCTTATATGAAAATAGTCTGAGTAATTTTTTTCTTTCCTACCTCTTTCCTATTATATTTTTCCACTTTCTAACCTCAACTCTCAGCAACATCTTCCCAATTGTCTTTAATCTTACTATAATAAAGACAAAGAATGGTAATAGAATATTCCCGTGGTTAAAAACAATGGTAAAACATGCTAAAAGTGATTTGTGCACACATGTTACAATGATCTTGACCCTGACTAGGTAGCTCAGTTAGTATGGTCCCAACAGGCCAAGGTTGCAGATTCAAATTCCAGTAAGGGCATATACAAGAAGCAATCAATGAACACATCAATAAGTGAAACAACAAATCAGTTTCTCTCTCTAAAATAAAATCTATCAATAAATAAATTTTTAATAATCTAAATAAATAAAAAATACCTACCTTGAAGTTTTCCAGATGCACCTTGTACTCTCTTCCAACTTAAAACCAAGCCACATTTCTTATAAAGAAAAAAAAAAAGTTACAACTTAACAAAATAAACCAACTTATCGTGCACATAAGAGCCCAATTATATTCTGAAGTAGGAAAAAAACAGAAGCAAAAAAACAAAAGAAAAAGATCGTATTAGTAACTAAATTTCTTTAAATTCTCTCAATTCACACAAATCTATTATATGAAATATACAACAAATTATTTCAAAGAAAAATATAAATTCTCACTGCTTATTTGCAAAAAACTGCATTTTAATAATTAGAAAATTTACAGCATATTATCCTACAAAAAAATATATAAAAAAATCAAAATGCCCAATATTATAACAGTTAAAACTATAGTAAATTCAAGTCCATAAAGATGTTTTAAAACACATAAATATAATACAGGATTTTTAATGTCAGGAAAATGCTTGATATGGGATGCAAAACATGGTACATGAAACTGCAGACATACCGTAAAATTTTAATTATGCAAAGAAATAAATTTCCATAAAGTAATCAGATATATTCCAAAAATGTTAAGGGACAGGTTGTGTAAAGGGTGGGACTTTATTACAACCTGTTTCCTTTCAAACTTTTAAAACATTATTTCTAACTATTAAATAACCAGAAGGTTTAGCCCTGGCCGGTTTGGATCAGCGGTTAGAGCGTCGGCCTGCGGTCCCGAGAGACCCGGGTTCGGTTCCCGCTAAGGGCACGTACCTCGGTTGCAGTTTGTCCCCGGCCCTGGTTGGTCGTGCGGGTGGCAGCCACTCGATGTGTCCCTTCACGTCGATGTTTCTCTCTCTCTTCCTCTCTCTCCCTCCCTATCTGAACAACAACAAAAAATGTCCTCGGGTGAGGATAAAAAAAATAAAAATAAAAAAAAAATAACCAGAAGGTTTAAAAAAATTATTTGTGGAAAATACCTGAAGTTTGCCTATTAAAGCTGAATATGAATAAATTTTTCACATCTCCCTTCAGAGAAACTACTAAAATGATAATCAAAAAATATAAAAGGTAAAAACCCTTAAGGTCTAATATAGCATTAGAAACAACAGCAATATTCAACAAAATTTTGAAAAAACAAAATGGATGGATGATAACTCATTCAACAGAGCAAAGAAAGCTATAATTCCAAATGTCTACAGAGGCGAGGCAGATACCAGTGAAAAAGAAAGGCTAAAGTGATTCTACAAAGTCAAGTAGATCTAGACTTTTTTTTAAAAGAGGGGAGGAGGCTGGCCTGACAGCTCAGTTGGTTAGAGTGCCATCCCAATATGTCAAAGTTGTCGGTTCCATCTCCAGTCAAGGCACATACAAGAAACAACTTCCTGGCCAGTGTGGTTCAGTTGTTGTATGTAGTCCCATACACCAAGCGGTCACTGGTTGGATTCCCAGTCAAGGCATATGCCCAGGTTTTGGGCTTGACCCACAGTAGGGGTAGAGGGGGAGTGCAGGAGGCAACCTATAGATGTTTCTACCTCTCTCTGCCTCCTCTCAAAAAAAAAAAAAAAAAAAAAGGAAAGAAAGAGAGTGAAACAACCAATGAACACATAAGTGGAATAACAAATCAATGTTTCTTTCTCATCAATAAAAAATATAAATAACATACAGTGGAGAATGGAGTTGATGCATGAAGCTGTATAAAAACAGGTACTTGTCTGACAATATGAATATGGCATAACCAGAGTGCCAAGTAACACCTTATTCCCCACCCCCAGTGAGTCTGAAGAAAATGAACACAACAAGCTTGGGATATGAATCACCAGATATAAAGGAATATATGGATGATATATAGAGTGGGTAACAAGGGAAGAAAACAAAAGTTAAGAAATGCTAGAACTCAGTTCTTCAACCCCAATCCATACAGGAGCCAATCATCATTCAATAGGTATGAAACAAAGTTTTCTAGAGAAACCAACCAGCCTCAAAGAAAAAACCGCCACATATTAATTTTAAAACCACAGGCTGTTGGCTAAAATACCCTACAATGATGCTGAACATTTTATAAACCAAATATGTAGAAGACTTTCAATCGCTAACTTTTAAATATGAGCAATCAAGGATCACCAGACATTTTAGGGAAAACTTAAAAGTGAAAGTGAAATGAAAGATAGGAAGAAAAGAGACAAATGTAGGAATCCAAAGAAAGCTTAAAAACAAAACACTGTTGCACACATAAATCAAGAACAGGTTTTTAAAAGGGAGGTTTCAAACTGAAAATACATACTTATGTCCACACAAAAACTAGTACAAAAATATTCTTACAACCATTATTTATAATAACCAGAAGTGGAAACAACCATATTGTAAATTAACTGATGAATGAATAAACAAAATGTGGTATAGCCATGAAATGGAACATTATAGGCCATAAAAGGGATTGAAAAACCAATACAAACTATAATATAGATGTACCTTGAAAACATTATGCTAACTGAAAGAAGAGAAAACAAAAAGATCACATTATTTATGATTCTGTTATAAAAAATGGCCAGAAAAGACAAATCTATAGAGACATAAAGTAGCTGGGGAGAGGAGAGAATGAGCGGTGACTGTTAATAGTTACAGGGTTTCTACTCAGGGTGATAAAAATGCTCTGGAGCCCTGGCCAGTTTGGCTCAGCAATTAGATTCGGCCTGCGGTCCAGAGAGACCCGGGTTCGGTTTCCGCTAAGGGCACGTACCTTGGTTGCAGTTTGTCCCCGGCCCTGGTTGGGTCGTGCAGGTGGCAGCCTTGATGTGTCCCTTTCACATCGATGTTTCTCTCTCCCTCTCTCCCTCCCACTCTATCTGAACAAAATGTGAAAAAATGTCCTTGGGTGAAAATTAAAAAAAGAAAAAAGCTCTGGAATTAGTGGTAGTATTTGGACTACTTTCTGAATCTACTAAAAACCACTGAATTATACATTATAAAAGGGTAAATTTTATAGTATATAAATATTTCAATGAAAATGTTTTAAAAAATGTCTTCACAATGTTCCACTTTGGGAAAAATTGGCATCATCTTGTAACTGAAGATAAGCGTGCCCTACCTCAGAAATTCCACTTCTAAGAGAATAGATACAGAAATTTATTCAGGTTCACGTATGAAGACATACTACCAGTAATAATATTGCAAAACACAAAATAATGAAAACAATCCATATGACCACCAGTAGAAAATTGACAGTTTATGGTATATTTCTACAATGCAATAATGTATGGAAGTGAAAAGTAAATAGAGCTCTGCAGGTTAGATGAAAAAAGCATTTTGTGAAGAAATACATAAGTAAAACTTGTGAATTACATGCCCTGGCCAGATAGCTTTGTTGATTACAGCACTGTCCCAATACACCAAGGTTTCGGGTTCAATCCCTAATCAGGGCTCATATAAGAATCAACCAATGAAAGCCTAAATAAGTGGAACAACAAATCAATGTTTCTGTCTCTCCCTCCCTCTCACCCTCTAAAATCAATTTTTAAAAAATTTTAATAAAAATTTGTGAATTACAAATTTTAATGAATATATAAATACATAATTAAAGTAAAAAATATACACAGAAATGATAAACTCTAAATTTAGGACAGTGGCCCAGTTGGTGTGGCTCAGAGGATTGAGCACTGCCCCATGGACTGAGAGATCCTGGTTCAATTCCCAGTCAGGGCACATTGCCTGGATTGCAGGCTTGATCCCCAGTAGGGGGCGTGCAGGAGGCAGCCAATCGATGTTTCTCTCTCCCTTCTGCTCTCTCTAAAAAGTCAATAAAAACATTTAAAAAATAAATTTAGGACAGTTTATTGCCTCTGGCATTTACCTTGTGAAAGTAAGAAATGGGAATTGGGGTTTCCAACTATAATGTTTTATTTGGGAAAAAATCTGAAGCTAGTATCAAAAATAGTGAGATCTGACAAAGCTAGGTTTTGTGGGCATTTGCTTTCTAAACATTTTGATGCAAGGATCATACAATTTAGAAAACAGAAATGGCAATAATGTACATTACCTATAAAATGAAGAAGAAAAAGATTTAAAACTTCTCTATGAAAAGTGAAGATTATAAAATAATTCAATATTATTTAATTTAATAATGTGCATGTATCACCAGGAAAAATTTCTAAAACTAAGACAAAAAAGAAAATCAACGACTGTACCAAGTCCTAAGAACTTATTATTTATGCTCAGAATAAAAACTTTTGTATGTTTGTTCATCTTCACCTGAGGATATTTTTTTCATTGATTTTGAGACAAAGTGGAAGGTAGGAAGAGAGGGAAGGGGAGGGAGGGAGGGAGAGACAGACAGAGAGAGAAACATTGACATGAGAGAGACACATCGATTGGTTGCCTCTCACAGGATCCTGACCAGGGCAAGGGATCAAACCTTCAACCCTTGTCTGAAAGTCAACCCAGGGACCTTTCGGTCTGTAGGCCGAAGCTCTAACCACCGAGCGAACCGACCAGGGCCAGAATAAAAACTTTAAAAAGGAATCAGTCAATTGTTTTAGAGGTTGCTGGGAAAAAGAACTCAGTTTCCAAATATTAACCCAGAGATTACTTATAAATGACAAAGGGAGAAAAGGTACCCTCACAATGGAGAGAGCGGACCACCTAACCAAGGAGTAACTAAAAATCACCAAAAAATAGGATCAAGAGACATCATGTACCTTTTGCTACGCAGCACTGAGAACAATACATAACCTATACAGTATTCTTGCAAAAATACTCTAAATATATCCATGAGCAATCACTCAAATTTAAATTGGAAGAAATATTCTGTAAAAAAAACCAAAAACTGGACTCTTCAAAAATATCAATGTCATTAAAAACACCAAATAAAGAAGAGCAGGAAACTGTTTCTTTATTAAACCAGCTGTCTAATAAATTGTGACAATCAAATGCAATCTACAGTCCTTGACTAGATCATAGATGAAAAATAAAAACAGCTATTTGGGAAATTATTTGGGATATTATAGTTAAAAATTAGAAAAATAAAAATATATATTAGTTAACAATGCTATATCATCCTTAAATTTCTTGAGTGTAATAATGATTCTATGATCATGTAGGAGAATGTCTTTGGTATTGGGAGACACAAGTAGTATTCAGAAGTGAAATGTCATGGCACAACTTACTCTCTACTCAAAAAAATATGTAGCAGTCTGGCCAGTGTGCCTCAGTGGTTGAGCATCGACCCATGCACCAAGAGGTCACTGGTTCGATTCCCGGTGTGGACACATGCCCAAGTTGTGGGCCTGATCCCCAATGGGGAGCATGCAGGAGGTGGTCAATCAATGTTTCTATCACTCTCTCCCTCTCACTTCTTCTCTCTCTCTCAAATCAATCAAGGAAAAAAATAAATTTAAAAAGTATGTAGCTGATTTGTATATAGAGTAAATTTGGCAAAATGTTACAAGGGTGCTCACTGTAGTATTTATTCAACTTTTTTGCCAGATTAGAAATTTTCAAAATAAAACAGAGAAAATAATTGTTCAGAAACCTCTTTCTGCCTTTCATAAGTTTAAAATTTAAACAAAACTTTTAAAATGAAATATAAAGAGTTTAACTTACAGCAAGGAGCTGTCTTATGAGCATGTCTGACGCTTTCTCAGAAATGTTGCCGACAAAAACTGTAGTAGTGGGACCACAATTTTCATCATTTTCTTTCGTCTTTAAGCCTGGATGATCCTTTCTTGCTCCCAAATGCTTTCCAACCATTGACACAGTGGGTACTAATACCTGGAATGAGGAAAGGAAATAAAATTTGATTAGACAATTAAACTTCCTATCATATTTAATTTAACAGGCTAAAACCATCAATGTTAAATTACTAAATACAGTATGGGGCAAAGGCAGATTTACAGTTATTTGTATGGAAAACACAATACTTAATAAATAGTAAACTCTATGTTTCATGTACTCACAACTATAAACCTATTATTAAAGGGTCTACGTACTTAATCTATAGCTCCTATAGTACATAACATTTTTCATTAATGCAAACATTTCTGACAAGTTAAAGTCCCATTGTTAGATTACCTTTCTTTAAAAACTTGGAAAAGCAAAAATAACTTGGATATAAACTTAAACTATGTTTAAAATAATTTTGAAATGTTTAAGACATCATAAATCATTTAAAATTATCAAATACATCCATAAGTTTCTTCACAAATGCACTCTGTACTAATATAAAAAGCAAATTTCAATTATCCCTGCTAATATTCTTGCAAAACATTTAAATATTCCCTTGGCTCTCCCCCACACTGAAAATTTACTGTTTTAGTTATTTGAATTTCTAGCTCATTGTCCCTTTATAACTTTCAACTTCCCAGAATAAGGAATCATCTTACTCATCATTTTATGTGGAAGTGAATTTAGCAAAACACCCACAGTAGGCACTGAATAATATGGTGAACTGGGGAAGCACATCCAAACTCCATCCAAATGCTATCTTTTCCTAGGCTGAAATGCAAGAAAGTAAGACTACCTGTCACGTGGAAGTTTTCCAAAATGACCAAATACTGGGTGTCTAATTCAAGAAGAGCTAGACACCGTTAGTATGCAGAACCATATCTTCTTAGTGGTCTGCCTCACAGCAGGTTCCTATTTGTCTACCTACTTCCTATCTCCCCTTTCATGTCAGTAACACCATTCCCATTCCTTTTCATAAACCACAGGTAGAAAAACAGTTGAAAGTAATGAGATCTACCCTCTCTCATAGAATTCCAAATGAAGCCTGCTCTTTTACAAATGAACTCAAAGAAATACCTTGTTAAATAACAGCTAAGAGGATTGTTACTTATTCATGTGTTACAATATATTAACGTTCTTAACTAAAACACTTAAGACTGTGCAATTACTTTGCTGAATGTAAAGAATTAAGGTTCAAGATCTAAGACTAAATAATGAAACACTTCCCACAAAACTTGAAGTTATCATACTAAGGAGAGAGAAAAAAATAGCTTGGAAGGGGCTCTAAATTAGGTAGGTAGGAGGAAAAGAATAGAATGATATTCAACACAAATTTCATTTCAAAATTTATTTCTGCTAGGATTATTCTTATATTCTTTTCTTTTTTTTCTTTTAAGAGATTAGATATGTCATATCATTCTCCTATCTCCCAAAACCAAGACATGAGGAAATAAAAAAGCCAATGTCCTAAATATGAACTTAAAAATAAATGAGTCTACAGAATAAGAGAGAAACCATAAAACTATTTAAGGAGCAATATTTTGAGAACAACTGCACATATGCACAACTGAGTGAAAATGTTACTTAATCAAGTAAGTAGTATGACAAAAAATGGTGTGCACCCTTAAAATAATTTATCTAAGTTTATCAAGTTTTTCATTTTTCAAAGCACTATCACTATCATATCTCCTAATTCCTCCTTAAAATTATACTTATAGCCCTGGTGGCATAGCTCAGCTAGTTAGAGCATTGTCCCTATGTGCTAAGATTTAGGGTTTGATACCTGGTCAGGGCACACACAAGAATCAACCAATGAATGCATAAATAAGTGGAACAACAAAATCTATGTTTCTCTATCTAAAATCAAACAGTAATAACATTTTTTTTAAATTATACTTACAGTTGGAGCTGGAGCCATAATGCTCATTGGTACAGGAATCATTGGAGTTCCTATGGAAAAAGCATAATGAGTTGTAAGCACTCAATTATACACTATTCTACATCAACTACATGCCACACGTATAAGTATTCTCACTCATAGTTTATTTAAGTGGAAATGTAGGACTAATGAGATATTGATGAATGCCTTTTTTTCAAAAGCAATGTGGTACCAGGTCAATCTATATAAACTTACCTACAACAACAAAAAAATAGTCTGTAAGTAAATAGACTACCACAATGTGTTTTTGCCCATAGTTACAGGACAACCCACTTGGGATCCCTCCCTGCTGTGGGAAGTCTGTATGTCTTGCAAATAAAACTTTCCTTTAGTCCTGTCAGTGTGGCTCAATGGTTGACTATCAACCCATGCACCAAGAGGTCACCGGTTCAATTCCAGGTCAGGGCACATGCCCAGGTTGTGGGCCTGGTCCCCAGGGGGGGCATGTAGGAGGCAGCCAATTATGTTCTCTCTCATCGATGTTTCTCTCTCTCTCCCTAAAATCAATGAAGGAGGAAAAAAAATCTCCCAAAAAAACACGTTACTTTTGCTTGAAAACACACACACACACACAAAACTTCTGGATAGTTATTGATTCATGTTCACTGGGTTTAGTACATCCTTAAAACCAAGAACTTTCACAAATACAGTTAACAATAATATTAATAAATACTTTAAAAGTAAAAAACAAGTCCTTTGAACGTTTTCCTTTATTAAGTATCAAATGAAAATTAATCTGGAAACCTAGGAAGAATCTAGTCATTCCTGGCTCTTTAATAAAAACAAAAATCAGCCTTGACCAGGTGGCTCGGATGGTTGGAGAGTTGTCCCTTACACCAAGAGGTTTCAGGTTCAATTGCAGGTCAGGGCAGATACTTAGGTTTTGGGTTCAATCCCCTGTCAGGGCACATACAGGAGGCAACCAATCAATGTTTCTTTCTCTCTCTAAAATCAATAAAAGCGTATCCTCAGGGGAGGATTACAAATTTAAATTGGCAAAAAAATAAAATCATCAAGAAAAAAATCTCTTAAGACAAGTGTTGCTGTTCTGAAGGTTTAAGAGCTGTCAATGGGCTACTTACTATTGACATATGAATTTTTTCAACTGCCCTGTTTACTAATCAATAGCTGCTATATTGAGAGTACTTGAGTACATAACTAATAAAGAAATCTTATCATTTGACAACTAAAAAAAGGGTTGCAATGAGGCCAAAAACTGTCTACTTTTCCTAAATCAACTTTAAAATGCTTCTAAATACATCTCAAGCCCTGGCCAGTTTGGCTCAGTGGTTAGAGCATTGGCCCACGGACCAGAGAGTCCTGGGTTCGGTTCCCGCTAAGGTCATGTACCTAAGATAGAGTTTGTCCTGGCTGGGATCATGTGGGTGGCAAACACTCTATGTGTCTCTCTCACATCGATGTTTCTCTCTCTCTTCCTCTCTCCCCTTCTCCTGCTCTATCTGAAGATAAATGCAAAACAAAAAATACATCTCAAGAAGTCCTGAAACTGTTCTTCAGTTCAAATATAGCATCAGTTTAAGATTATTATCCATCTAAGACTGGTAATAAAGTCTTAAACATTTTAAATTATCCATTTATTTTCCAATATAACTAATTTAACTTCATGGTTTTTTAAAGATAAAAATCAAGCCCTGGTTGGTGTGGCTCAGTGGATAGGGTATCGACCCGTGCACCAAAGGGTCTCGGGTTCCATTTCCCATCAAGGGCACATACCTGGGTTGCAGGTTTGATCCCTAGCACCACTCAGGGTCCTGCAGGAGGCAACCAATTGATGTGTCTCTCTCACATTGATGTTTCTCTCTTTCTCTCTCTCCCCCTGTCTGCTTCCTTCCTCTCTTCCACTTTATCTAAAAAATCAATGGGAAAATATCCTTGGGTGAGGATTCACCCCCAGTCAGTACCCCCTCAAAGAGAGAGAGAGAGAATCAACCAATGAATGCATAAGTAAGTGAACAACATATCAATGTTTCTCTCTCTGATAAATGCATTTTAAATATTAAAAAAAAAAAAAAGTCGCTGGCTGGTGTGGCTCAGTGGATTGAATATCATCCCATGGACTGAGAAGTTCCAGTTTCATTCCCGGTGAGGGCACATGCCCAGTTCCGATCCCCAGTAGGGGGCATGCAGGAGGCAGTCAATCGGTGTTTCACTATCACATTGATGTTTCTCTCTCTCTCTAAAATATCAATAAAACATATTAAATAAAAAGCCAACCAATGGATGCATAAATAACAAATCAATGTTTCTCTCTCTTCTCCCTTGCTCTCTAAAATCCTTCCTCTCTAAACATCAATTTTAAAAAACCCACCAAAACTAATGGATAAAAGAATATATACCTATGTGGTTTGTAATATGCATTACAAATATCTGGAAGGACAAAAAAGTAACTAATAATCCTGCTTTGTTTCCCTCTTTCCATAAGGGGATAGTAACAACAGTTCTGTGGGAATGTGATAAAATATTTTCACTGTATACTTTATCATTTTTGAACCTCATGAATCCACTACCTATTATTAGTTCTTTAAATAATTTTTTTTTTTTAGCCCTGGCCGTTTTACCCAGTGGTTAGAGTTGGCCCTCAACCCGAAGGATCTTGAGTTTGATTCCTCTGATGGGGGTCATGTGGGAGGCAACCAATCATGTGTCTCACTCACACTGATGTTTCTCTTTCTCCTTCTCCCTCCCTTTCACTCTTTCTAAATATCAATGGGAAAATGTCCTCAAGTGAGGATGAAAAAATAAAAATAATAACATTTTAAAAAAACTTTCCAAATGCCCTGACCAGGTGGCTTATTTTGTTCAAGTGCCAACCCAATATACCAAGGTTGTGGGTTCGATCCCGGGTCAGGCCTCATACAACAATCAACCAGTGAATGCAAAAATAAGTGGAACAACAAATCAGTGTTTTTCTCTCATTTCCTCCTTTCCATTAGATCTTTAAAAAATAACAAAAATAAGCCCTGGCCAGTTTTGCTCAGCGGTTAGAGCGTTGGCCTGCAGGCCAAAGAGGCCCGGGTTCGGTTCCTGCTAAGGGCACGTACCTCGGTTGCAATTTGTTCCCAGCCCCAGCTGGATTGTACGGGAGGCAGGCACTCGATGTGCCCCTTTCATGTCGATGTTTCTCTCTCTCTCCCTCCCACTCTCTCTGAACAAAAAATGGAAAAATGTCGAGTGAGGATTAAAAAAAAAAACAAAAAACTTCCCAAACAAATTTATATTCAGTCAGATATAAAAACTACTACCATGCCCAGCCAGTGTGGCTCAGTGGACCGGGGGTGGGGGGGGTGGGGTGGTCGTCCCAGTTCCCAGTCAGGGTACATGCCTGGGTTTTGGGCTTGTTCCCCAGAAGTGGGGGCGTGTAGCAGGCAGCCGATCCATGTCTCTCTCACACTGACATTTCTGTCTCTCTCTCCCTTCCTCTCTATCAATAGAGACATATTAAAAAAAAACTACTGACATAGGAAAGAGATATAACATTTCCAGAATGATGTTAACAAGACATCTTTACTACTAACACAGTCACATACATATCATCTTCCTGAAGTAAATACTGCAAAGACAAAAGTTAAAACAACTATAGTATTCACAAAATTACCTGGAGGTACAGGTGGAGGAAAGCCAGGAAACTGTGGGGGTGGGATCCCTGGTGGGAGTGCTGGGATTCCCATGGGAGGACGATTCAAATGAGGGGGGAAAGACATTCTTACTGCAGATGTCTAAAAAAAGAAATGACAAATCATTTTATTGAAAACTTTACAAGTTAATATGCCTGGTTTGTTGGCCTTCATTTTTAGAGTATCTGCAAAATTCTAAAGTTTTCTTACCCAAAGGAGCTGGCAAAGACCCTCTTTTCTCTGTCTGTCCATTGAGAATTTTTAAAATTTAGATCTTTTCTAAAATAAGTTCCCAAAATGTACACGATCTAAGTTCAGGATAGACTCCTACAATCATATGGGAATACATATAAAGGAAGAAAAAAATTTTGAGGTTCAGTTAATATCCAAAAATTAAATACGAAATATCAATGAATCTTTTAAACCAAACCCAGAATCCAAGGTTTCTAACAGTTATTTTTAAAAAGTGTTCGGATACATTCATTTTTTAAATACATATCGGCACCTATTAGAAAACTAATTTACAAAGTTACACAGTATTTGTTGTTTCAGTGTTGGCCAGTTTCTCAAGTACAAATGACTGTCTCAGTGAACTACAAACCTTGGGGAGTGGTGCAAGGGGGAACTCCCTGACATCAAGTCACATAGTAACCATTCAAATATAAAGAGAACAGCCCTGGCCAGTGTGGCTCAGTTGGTTGGACCATTTTTCCATATACCAAAAGGTGGTGGGTTCCAGCCCAGGTCAGGGCACATACCCAGGTTGCAGGTTCACCCCCGGTCAGGGCACATACAGGAGGGCAACCAATTGATGTTTCTCTCTCATATCAATGTTTCTCTCTACTTCTCCCTTCCTCTCTCTAAAATCAATTAAAATTTTTTTTAAATATGTATTTTTTAAATTCCAAATACAAAGGGAACGTAAAATTTGTAACAAGTAAAAAATGTTATGTTGCCCTGGCCGGTTCCTGCAAGGGGCACGTACCCCCCCCCAAAAAAAGTCATGTTTTCTTTTCATTTTTATAGCTGGGGAAGAAGAGGTGGCTCGTGAGGTTGGAGCCAGTGTGTGGCCCTGGACCACCCACCCATACCCACCTGGAGGTGGCCTTTAGCCTCGGAGGCCATTATCTTTTTTAAACTTAAAAGCACACCCCCCTTAGCCATTCTTGAATGAAATTCAATAAATGAATGAATGAATAAAATTCAAGAATCATGCTAACATTTGACTTTTACTTTTTCATTCTGGAAGGTAAAGCTCGTTTTAGTTAAATTATAGTTGACATATTCTAGTATTTGATTTTTCAAAACACAGTAACAGCCCTAGCCAGTGTGGCTCAGTTGGTTGAGTGTCCTCCTGTGCATAAGGGTGTTGGTTCAATTCCTGGTCACGGCACATGCCTGGGTTTTGGGCCCAATTCCCAGTAGAGGATGTGCAGGAGAAAGCTAATTGATATTTTTCTGTGTCTCTCCCTTCCTCTAAAATCAATAAAAACATATTTTAAAAAATAAAAGCACAAGAACAAATTGAACTGTTTCATCTGATTTGTGATATTACTACTGTAAAAAAACTTGTTTTTTACTTTTAGTTAAACAAATAGTTAAATATCTAAGACTTTTCCTCTCCCCAAATTTTTATTTTTCTTCAACATGTTCAACTGTCCACATCTACTGGAAAAAATAGAAAAACGTCAGGATGTCCTAGGTGGATTCCACACACCAACCGAAAAAAACAACCAAAATAAGTGGGTTGATCTCATATCAGTGATGCCACTAAAAGCAGTGATCTGAACAACAGCATGTATTTCTGTTGGACACTAGGAAAAATTCCCCAACCTATGCTCTAGCGGTTAGAAGCTTTTAAAAATGTTTCTCTACTAGTTTCTTTTGGGTTTTATACATTGTTTTACTCACCCTTCAGAAGAGAGAAGATAAAAAGTGCATGTCTTCCATTTCCTTGCCCCCTAATCCCAAAAGTTTGGTATATATCGTTGTATTCTTCTAAATCTCTCTCTATACACAAACTAATATATAATCATTTGTGTTTTTCTGCAAACAATATAATCACACTATATTGTTACCTGCATTTCTCCCTCCTTATCATTAATATCTCTTTATATTAGTTCAAAATTCTATTCCATTCTTTGTAAGGCAGTAAAGTATTATAATACAGACATACAATAACTATTCAAGCAACACTGATGGTTGACTCTACATTTTATCTCTTACAAATAATGAACATGACAAATTGGACATGTAACTCTATGCACCTGTGCAAGTAATTGTATAATAGAGATTAGTACTATACATATCCACACTTTACCTCCAAATCATCCTCTGGAACTAGTGTACAAATTTATATTCCCATTACTATTATATATAGACCCTTTCCTCATATCCCCACCATTGCTAGAGTAAATCAGTGTTTAAATGATAACAATCTACCCAACTAGTGTGGCTCAGTGGATTGAGCGTTGTCCCATTGACTGAGAGGTCCCAGTTTGATTCCAGTTCAGGGCACATGCCCAGGGTTGCAGCATCAATCCCCAGTACAGGGAGAGCAGGAGGCAGCTGATCAATGTCTCTCTCATACACTGATGTTTCTATCTCTATCCCTTCCTCTCTCTAAAAAAAAAAATAAATAAATAAAAAAAAAAACACCACACAATCTGATAGGTAAAAAATACTCTCTTATCCTGGCCAGTTTGCTCAGTGGTTAGAGTTTTGTCCCATGGACCAAAGGATCACAGGTTCAATTCCTGGTCAAGGGCACATACCTGGGTTGTAGGTTCGATCCCTGGTCCTAGTCAGGGTCATGCAGGAGGCAATCAATCGATGTGTCTCTCTCACATCATATTCTCTCTCCCCCCTCCTTCCTTTCTACCTAAAAAAAAAAAAAATTCAATGGAAAAATATCCTCGAGTGAGAATTAAAAAACAAACAAAAAACCACCCTTGTTTCAATTTGTATTTTCCTAACCACCGAGGTTGAGTATCTTTTTACCTATTTATTAGACATTTCCTTAAAACATTCTTAGAAAAGCATGTCCTTTGTGCTCACAGCTGGTTTTCCTCAAGAGTGTTCTTTTGACTTAATTAAGTTAGTGTAATAAAATATTCTATAAAATATAAACTCCAAAAAAAATCTAAACTTCAATATCAGAAAACACAATACATTTAATTTTTTAGAAAAGCTTTACAGGTCAAATAAATTCCCAGGATTTCATATACTTAGCAAATAAGGTACTGGAGCCCTGGCCAGGTAGCTCAGTTGGTTAGAGCATTGTCCCAATATGCCAAGGTTTCAGGCTTGATCTCTGGCTAGGGCACATACATGAAACAACCAACGAATGCATAAATACATGGAACAACAAATCAATGTTTTTCTCTCTCTCTCTCCCCCCATTCCTCTAAGAATCAATAAATTAAAAAAAAAAAAAAGTAAGTAGGCATCAGCATACATTTAAAAGGGAAAATGCCAACTAATTTAAGATGGTAAATGTGTTATATTTTTAGTAATCCATTTGTAATACTTTTGACCAAAATTAAAAACAAATATTCTATATATACTGTCCTACTTACAGAAGCGCTTGTATTATAATACTCTATCTCAGCACTTTTCTTAGGAAGGCAGTTGGTATTAATACCTGTTGAATAAATGAATGAATCAGTAAACAAATGAACTCCGAGGACCCCATTAAACAAATTTATTAAGAAGCTCCCATGTGCCAGGCACTACGCTAGCAGTCTAGCCTCACAACAGTTATAAAGATTGGCCATGAATTCATCTTTAGAACTATTTTTTCCCAAGTATTAGATATAAATATTATTTCTTGTAAAACCTCTGTTCTTGGTGTTTAAATACTTCATGGTTTTTAAATGTATAACTCATTATGTTAAGAATTAACCAGATTACATGTTCAAGTTTAGTGTATCCTAATATACCTATTCCATGCACTTCTAATTTTTCTATGAAATATTTCCCTTTTCCTTCGAACTGTTCAAAACTTGCTTATTCATAGGCTGAACTGCAAAGGTAGAGGTAATCTTCACAAGCTAAATGGCCTTTCCATGAAAAGTCAGAAAACAAGCATTTCTAGTTACCTCTGATAAATATTATTCACTTTCAAACATTCTAAAGTGACAGCCATCAACCACTTATTTCAACATAAAGTGTTATATATTTTGACATATGTGAAAATTATTAAGAATAAACTTTTAGCCCCGCCCAGTATGGTTAAATTGTCAGAGCATTGGCCCAAGGTCCAAAGGGTCTCAGTTTCGATTCCCGGTCAAGAGCATGTACCTGGGTGCAGGTTTGATCCCCAGCTCTGGTCAGGGCACATGCGGGAGGCAACCAAATGATGTCTCTCTCTCACCCAGATGTTACTCTCTTTGTCTCTCTCTTTCTCTACCTCCCTTCTACTTTCTCTAGAGATCAAAGGAATAAATATACCCTCAGGTGAGGATTAACCAAAAATAAATAAATAAAATTTTATAACCATAAGCAAAGCTTATCAGATTTTCACCTATAATTGATAAATTATAATACTGATACTCTTTTATATAAATTATATAGATATTCAAAGTTGATATTTATCCATAGAATGAAGTTGGGAAGAGAGCTAGAAAGTACTTTAATTTTTTTAAATGTTTTTATTGACTTTTATTATTATTATTTTTTTATCCTCACCCGAGGATATTTTTTTCCATTTTTTGTACAGATAGAGTGGGAGGGAGAGAGAGGAAGGGAGAGAGAGAGAGAAACATCGACGTGAAGGGACACATCGAGTGGCTGCCACCCGCACGACCAACCAGGGCCGGGGACAAACTGCAACCGAGGTACATGCCCTTAGCGGGAACCGAACCCGGGTCTCTCCGGACCGCAGGCTGATGCTCTAATCGCTGAGCCAAACTGGCCAGGGCTTTTTATTGATTTTTAGAGAGAGGAAGGGAGAGGGGGAGAGAGAGAAACATCCATCAGCTGCCTACTGCACATCCTCCCAATGGGGGATTGAACCCACAACTCAGGGATGTGCCCGACATGGAATAGAACTGGCAGCACGGGATGATTCCCAACCAACTGAGCCGTACTAGCCAGGGCAGGAGTGCTTCATTTTACTATTTTTTTAAAATTTGTTCTTCCTCACCCTGGCTGGTTTTGCTCAGCGGTTAGAGCGTTGACCTGCAGTCCTGAGCGACCCGGGTTTGGTTCCCGCTAAGGGCGCGTACCTCGGTTGCAGTTTGTCCCCAGCCCTGGTCGATCGTGCGGGTGGCAGCCACTCGATGTGTTCCTTTCACATCGATGTTTCTCTCTCTCTCTCCCTCCCACTCTACCTGAACAAAAAAATGGGAAAATGTCCTCGGGTGAGGATAAAATAAATAAATAAATAAATAAATAAAATTTGATCTTCCACTATTGATTTTAGAGAGAAAGAAAGGGAGAGGGAGAGAGAGGTAGAAACATCGATGAGAGAGAACATTGATTGGCCGCCTCTTGCATGCCCCAATTGGGGATTGGGCCCACATCCTGGGCATGTGCCCTGACCGGAATCAAACTGGCGACCTCTTGGTGCATGGGTCGATGTTCAACCACTGAGCCATATCGGCTGGGATCACCGATGTTTCTCTCTCTCTCCCTCTAACTTCCTCTCTCTCAAATCAATAAAGAAAAAAATAAATTAAAAAATAAATAAATAAATACAGTGGTCAGGCCTCTCTAAGAAGGTGACAATTGAACAGACTTTATTTTTTTTTTATTTTTTATCCTCAACCGAGGACATTTTTTCCATTTTTTATACAGATAGAGTGGGAGGGAGAGAGAGGAAGAGAGAGAGAGAAACATTGACGTGAAAGGGACACATCAAGTGGCTGCCACCCGCACGACCCACCAGGGCCGAGGACAAACTGCATCCGAGGTACGTGCCCTTAGCGGGAACCAAACCTGGGTCTCTCTAGACCACAGGCCGCCGCTCCAACCGCTGAGCCAAACCGGCCAGGGCTGAACAGACTTTAAAAGGGCTGAGGTAGGAAGCCCTATTAATATCTGGGGCAATAGCTCTAGCTCAGTTGGTTGGAGCATCATCATATACACCAAAGATTATGGGTTCAATTCGTCAGGGCACAAACCTAGGTTGTAGGTTCGATCCCTGTCCGGGGAACGTACAGGAGGCAACCGATTGATGCTTCTCTCTCATATCAATGTTTCTCTCTCTCCCTCCCCCCCTCCACTCTCTCTAAAATCAATAAATATATCCTCAAGTGAAGATTTTTAAAAATTTACTTTTTTAAATCTGGGGCAACAGCCTTCCAATCAAAGAAAACAGCAAATACAAAGAGCCAGAGTTAGGCACAGAAGTGTCTGCAGGAAAAATAGCAAGGCCAACAGCTGGAGCAGAGTATTCAAGGAAAGTCAGAGATAAATGCCGAATATTATTTGGGGAGGGGGCTTCAGACAGTATAGGGCTTTGTAGGCCACTGTAAAAAGTTTGTTTTTCCTCTGAATAAAATGAAAAACATTTAAAGGTTTTTTATTTGACTTATATTTTAACAGTGTTCCTGGCCACTGTGTTAAGATAAGATTGGAGAACAAGGGTCAAAGCAACACACTCCTGCAATAATCCAGACAAGAGAGGGTGGCTGGAACAGGTGATATGGTGAAAGTGGTTAACCAATTATTAGATTCTAGATATACTATAAATGTAGCCAACTGCTGGGGAACGTGTGGGGAATTTAAGAAAAAGAGAGATGGAGAGATTATTTTTATTAGCATTGGAAAGATCTGAATAGCATTTAAAAAATACTTGAATAGTAGTGCTTCACTTTTAGAAGGTTCAAAGCAGTTTTACCTGCTAAGTAAAAATTAACAAAAACATACAGCTTTATGCATTTGTTAAAATTCACTGAAATTAAAACAGGTGCATTTTACTGTATGTACATTTTATCTAAATAAATTTGGTATCTCGCCCCACCAAAAAAAAAAACAAACTTCTAAATAAGATTTATCCCTACCACTCAACATATGCAGCTATTTCTGCTTTTCTTTTTCACTTTACTCTTTTTTTTCCTGCACTCCTGAGAATACCATTACTGCTTATAAGCATTCCTCCACTGCAGATTTATCCCGACAGAAATAAAATATTTTACCAGGGATAGATTTATAGGTCAACCCCATCAGGATACTGTGTACCAAATTTCTGAAATGGTACAAGGCAAATGAACCAATAAACTCTCTTCAGGAAATAGTCCCATACAACTTTTTCACTCATTCCCTCAATAAATAAGTATGTGCCAGTGATTTTTTTTTTTTTTTTTTTAAGAGAGAGAGAAATATCAATGAGAAAGAGAAGCATCAACATAGATTGGCTGCCTCCTACACACCCCCTATCAGGGATCAAGCCTGCAACCCAGGCATGTGTCCTGACTGGGAAACAAACCAGTGACCTCTTGGTGCATAAGTCCACGCTCAACCACCGAGTCAAACCAGCCAGGCTCTAAGCATTATTTTTATTAGTTCTGAAAGAGCAAATTTTTAGGTTATATAGTTATACACCCAGTCCAGTGGTTATATATATACGATTAGTGTAGCGTGCACTGTTTCCTACTCTGCTTATAACTAGGCAAGATACAACAGATTGAATAACCACCCAGCCTAAGCAAAGCAAGCCCCTCAAAATGTCATTTCAGACTGAATTTCCAGAAAACTAGAGTCTTCAGAAACTACTCCAAGGAACAAGTGTTCCATGTCTAAAGATAAATGGGAAATGCCTAACCAGAAGTTTCTTTTACAGGAAAGCTTTTCATGCGAACGAAAAGTGTTTTGAGTCTCCCAAAAGGGAAGCTGATCATTCTCTGAGTTTCCACTTTGCTTTTTTACCATTTTCAATGAAAAAGCAATAGTATCTGTAGAGAAAAATTAATGATAGTCTGGAGTTGAAGTGGGAACAGGAAGCAAATTGTAAACAGCAAAGAGGGATCCTTTGGGTTAATGGTTGCACAACTCTGTACATTTACTAAAAATCACTAAATTTTAAGTTCCAATGACTGAATTTTATGTCAGTTACACCTTAATAAAGCTGCTTTTAAAAAAGCAATACCAATTCAGGACAATCTCAGAAAAATCCAATTAAGGCCTACAGATTAGATAATATTGTATTAATATAATCTCCTGACTCTGATCATTGTACTGTTGTTAAATAAGAGAATATCCTTAATTTTAGGAAATACATATTTAGGGGTTAGGGAACACCACATATGCAAATTACTAATAAAACATTTCAGAAGTAAACTATGGAGAAAAAAGAACAGGATAAAGTAAATTGATCAAGTGTTAACATTTGAGTAATCTGGGTGAAAGGTATTTGAGAATTCTTTGTATTATTCTTGCAATTTTTCTGAAGTTTGAAATTACATCAAAATAAAGTTTAAAAAAAGGCAGTATCACCAATTCTGGTTAGTAGAATTATGTTTTTATTTTCAAAATTAAAAAAAAAAAAAAGTAGATAAAAAGCTATTCAAAAACTTTGAGGAATCACCCTGGCCCGTGTGTTAGTGGTTAGTGTTGGCCTGAGAACCGAAGGGTCTTGGCTTCGATCAAGGACATGTACCTGGGTTGCAGGTTTGATCCAGGCCCCAGTCAGGGTGCATGCAAGGATACAACCAATTGATGTCTCTCTCTCACATCAATGTTTTCTTCTCTCTCCCCTTCCCTCCCTCCCTTACACTCTCTAAAAATCAAAGGAAAAAATATCCTTTGGTGAGGATTAACCAAAAAAAAAAAAAAAGAAAGAAATTTAAAGGAATCAAAATTACTGTGAATGGCAGTATTGTCAAAAGACTACTGAGAGATTAAATAATACACAATGTTTTTGTAAGACCTTAAAAAAGTCAATGATTACTTTTGCTTCCAATGTTATAAAATAGTCAATATAATTTCCCCCTAAACTATGTATAATTAAGAAAAGTAACCCTGGCCAGTTTGGCTCAGCGAATAGAGTATCAGCCCACAGACCAAAGGGTCTCAGGCTTGATTTCTGGTCAAGGGCATGAACCTGGGTTGCAGGTTCCATTCTGGACCCCTTTTGGGGTTGAGTGGGAGGCAACCAATCGATGTCTCTCTTTCACATCAATGTTTCTCTCTGTCCCCATCCCTTCCTTTCACTTGATCTAAAAATCAATGCAAAAATAGCCTTGGGTGAAGATTAACAAAACAAAACAAAAATGAAAGAAAGAAAAGTATATAGCTAATTTATTTGTGGAAAGAAAAGTAACCTGAAAATCCCAAACTTGCATTAGGTCTGATGTAATTACCCAATGTTAAAATGAACTTATTTAAAAAATATATAAAGAGCCTTAACACAGTGGAATAAAAAGATAGCAAACCACAAAATAAACTTAAACTATTAGTGTATGGTGCCTATATACAACAGTGGGACAATAATTTTCTTCCTGAAAGTGCTTTGATTTTCTACCAAAAAAAATAAATAAAAATCCACTCTGGGGACCAAAAAAGGAAATTTGGCAACCCCAAGAAAATGGATTATTTAATAAAAAAAATAGCAACTCACGTTTTTATTTACTTTCATTTACAAAAGCCTTCAACATACATTATCTCATTTAATCTCCCAAATTACCTTGTGTAGATATATTATTCTCCTTTTACAGATGAAGCTAACTTGTCCAAGGGAACACAGTGAGTGTGTGGGGACCCCAAGGTCCCCACTATCCTGAAATTACCAATCCAAGGGCTGTTTTCACTGTGTCACAATGCCTCTTTCTAGTAATATACCAATGAGAAACTTCGTATTAAGGATTAACTTTGACTTTAAAGGTCTGTTCACAGTACACACTGGAAGAAATGTTAGAATCAGGGTTAGACTCTTGTACGTCACTGAAAATTCTTAAATAATAATACCGGTTAATACAGACTAAACACTAGGTTATTTGGGTATTGCACTAAGGATTTTACATACATTCAAATTAGTTTCCAATAACCTATTATGTGGATACTATTATAATCCTTATCTTACAGATGAAGGTTACAACAAAGGCTTTAAGAACAGTTAAAATTAGAACAGTATATTATCTATTTAAATCATGAGCAATGGTTGACCAACTGAATGCCTTTCTAGGCTTCTGAATGTTTTTGGAAACAATCTTTCAAAAAGTAAAGCTCCCAAAACAATATAAAAGTTGTTTATACACTACTGCTAACTATCTAATTCACAGTACTTCACACTATAGCAGTCCGGTGCAAGAGAAGTCCAATGTCTTCCCTCCTTTTGGTCCGCTCCACTCTGCCCAGTATCAAAATGGCTTTTCCATGGCAATATAAATCCGTATTACATAACTCCAAAATAATCTTCATACTCCCAGATCTATTTCGAAAAATGTATTTAAAAAGTAGTATTGAAGACCAAAGAAGAGTGAGAAAGAAGTAACACATTTTAATGTGCAGCTTGCTCATCGCCTAGAATGAATGGAGATACAGTTTACTGCAACCTCCGGTGGAGGAAGGGAGCAGGACCACATTCCTCATCACAATCTTAGACAAGGAGAGAGAGGGGAAAAAGGTGGGCATTAGCTAAATTCAAGGGGAGGGGTTCGAGGTGGACAGTTCACTCAGAGGCGGGCTCTAGATGACTTAAGAGGAAGGGAAAGAAATCCGTTGGTGGCCAGCACCTCTCGAAAAAGGGTGGATGCTGGCTGGCTTCTAAGCAGAGCCTAGGCCCAGTGAGTCCTAGGCCCGGAAAATCTCCCGTACGGTTCCACACACTCAGGTTAAAAAGGGGCCTCAGAGAAGGCTCCCCGGGGGCCGACCAATCGTTTTGTGACAAACGTGGATCCCAGAAGGAGCTGACGGGATTCACTGCGGCCGTCCGTGAAAGGAAAAGGAAAAGTGGGCGACAATGCAAGGAGGAAAGCTCTGGCAGTAAGTAGGTCCGGCCTCCACCGGCTCCGGCTGGCCCACTGGTTTTCGAGGCCTTAGAGAAGTGAAGAAACCCAAGCCTCGTGCCCATCCCCTCCCCCACTCAGCCCCCCTCTTTACCTTCGTCCCACCCCGGCCCTTTCAGAGCCTCCCCGGCTTTCCTTCCTCCCCTAGTCAAGGTACCCCGTTTCCACACGCTTTCAGAGGCGTGAACTCACCCGCCGCTGAGGCAAGGGTATTGTTTTCGTGGCCTTCTGGGCTCCAGGTTACAAGAGGGCTCCACCGGTTCGAGGTTTCTGGGCGCCGCTCACCGGGAGACTGGTTCCGAAGCGACTACTCGCACAGGCCGCAGCGCAAACACAGCCGCGCTGCGCGGGGAGCTTCTGGAGGTCTTCCTCTTGCCCGGCATGCACTGCGGCCGGGGGAGTGGAGGAGCATCATAGAGAAGGACGCATATAGATAGCCTTCACTGTTGGCCCTCAATCACCACGCCCCGGCGAATAACCATAGAGAAGGAGCGCCTAGTGTGGACTAGAAAGGCTCGAGCTAGAAACTACGACCCAGCCTGCCATTTTTTATTGGAGCTGATTGAATCTTGTGACTACGCGACGCCATCTTGAGGTCAAGGTTCTGGCTGGATAGGGCGTGAGGGATGTTAGAGGATTTCTCACATTTTGTAGTTTGTATCCAGAATTAGAGCGTTGTGTGAGCTTCGATGGGCTGACAACTGCCCCACCTAGAGCTTCAATAGGAACCCCAAGGGTTGATCTTTCCCTAGATAACGACCACTTTTGATACCTGGAGAACTGGGCTGTGGTGGGGTTTTTGTTGTTTTTTTAAGTGTGCATACATATGCAAAAATTTATGTTCACTGGTAGGCCCAAGATGTTTGAGATGACTAAACCGAACTGTAAAAACATTTTACACGATTTACATTTATAATGTAAATATGCTAAAAAGAACCTTGCTAATTAGATTAATGGAAATAAGCTCATCACGAGTGGTTAGAGTATTCAATTTAAGGACTTAATGGTCAACATCTATTTACAGGTATATTTGTTTCCCAACTGCTTGCTTCTCAGAAGGCTTATAACTTATTCAACATGAAGTTATTGTCTCCATAAGTGACGTGCTGGGCTAAGTGCTAAGAGTATGGTAAATGGGAGTGAGATTTTATTACTGTCCTGGAGGAGCTGCAAGCAACGCGAACAGATGACAAATTTTGATTACTGTATATAAAATTGAAACATAGCTAAACAGTTTCAACTAGAGTTACTGTTTAATTTTATTCTGAAGTATGAATCACCACTTAACTGTACTATATTTTTTCTTATTTTATGGTCTGTCTGCCTCTACCCGACTAGAATGTCAACTTGAGGAGTGCAGAAATTGTTTTAGTCATTGCTGTATCGTCAGTGCCTAGTACAATGCCTAGTACATAGCAGGTGCTCTATAACTAATTGTCGAATAAAAGAAATCACAAAACAATATTAACTGGCCTGTGTGGCTGAGTTCACTGAGCGGCATCCCAACCACTGGCTTTCTTGTCTGATTTATTTAATTCAGCACAATACCCTGTAGGTCTATCCATGTTGTTGTAAACGGCAAGATTTCATATATATATATATATATATTTTTTTTTGGCTGAGTAATATCCCATTGTATATATGTACCACATCTTTATTCATCTATAGATGGGCACTTAGGCTGCTTCCATATTTTGATTCTTGTAAATAATGCCCCAACAAACATAGGGATGCATATGTCTTTTCAAATTCATGTTTTGGGTTTCATCGGATAAATACTCAGAAGTGAATTGCTGGGTTCTTCTTTGTGTTATAGACTTCATTTTAAAGTCATTTTGTCTGACCTGGCTGGTGTGGCTCAGTGGATTGAGTGTCATCCCATGGACTTTAGAGGTCTGGATTCGACTCCTGGTCAGGGCACATGTCCGGGTTTTAGGGCTCCATCCCAGTAGGGGGTGTGCAGGAGGTAGCCAGTCGATGTTTCTCTCTCATGTTGATTTTCTCTTTAAAAAAAAAAATCAGTAAAAACATTTTTGTTTTGTTTTATCCTCACCTGAGGACATTTATGCATTTATCTTCAGATAGAGCGTGAGGGAGAGAGGGAGGAAGAGAGAGAGAGAAACATAGACGTAAGAGACACATCGAGTGGTTGCCACCCACACAACCGCAGCGGGGGCCGGGGGACAAACCATAACCGAGGTATGTGCCCTTAGCGAGAATCGAACCCAGGTCTCTCTGGTCTGCAGGCCGGCACTCTAACCGCTGAGCTCAACTGGATAGGGCAAAATGTTTTTTTTTTTTAAGTCACTTTGTCTAAGTATTGCCACCCCCAGCTTTCTTTTTTCATTTCCATTTTTATAAAATATTTTTTCCATCCCTTTACTTTCAGTTTGTGTATGTCTTTAAATCTGAAGTGAGTTGTGGACAGCATATGTATGCATCTTGTTTTCTGTTTTGTTTGCCTGTTTATTGATTTTTGAGAGAGAAAGAGGAAGGGAGAGAGAGATAGAAACACTGATGTGAGAAACATGGATGGGCTGCCTCCTGCACACCCCCTACTAGGGATCAAGCCTGCAACCTGAGCATGTGTCCTGACCAGGAATGGAACCAGGACCTCTCAGTCCACTAAGTCACACCTGCTGTGCAGTGTCTTGTTTTCTTATCCATTCAGCCACCCTGTGTCTTTTGATTGGAGAATTTATTCTATTTGTATTTAAAATAATTGTTGATAGAAATATATTTATTGCCCTTTTATTATTCATATTTTTTTTCTCCTTCTTAAGACCTTTTAACATTTTTTTTGTAATACTGGTTTGGTGGTGGCTTTTCACTTTCTTTATAGAAAGTGTCATTTGAAGCATAAAAATTTTTAATTTTGATGACGTCCAATTTACCTATTTTTTCTTTATTGATTTTAGAGAGAGAGGAAAGGAGAGGGAGAGAGATAGAAACATAGATGAGAGAGAACATCGCTTGGCCACCTCCCGCATGCCCCCTACTGGGGAACAGGCCCACAACATGGGCATGCTGCCCTGAACGGAAATCGAATCAGTGACCTTTTGGTGCTTGGGTCAACACTCTACCACTGAACCACACTGGCCAGGCCAGATTGAGTAGTTTATGCTTTTTTTTTTTTTTTTATCCTCACCCAAGGACAGTTTTCTGATATTTTGTTCAGATAGAGTGGGAGGGAGAGAGAGAGACATCAACGTGATAGGGACACATCGAGTGGTTGCCACCCACATGACCCAAACAGGGCCGGGACAAACTGCAACTGAGGTACATGCCCTTAGCAGGAACCAAACCCTGGTCTCTCCAGACCGCAGGCCAATGCTCTAACCGCTGAGCAAAACCGGCCAGGGCCAGATTGAGTAGCTTATAAACAGCAGAAATTTATTGCTCTCAGTCCTTAGGCTAGATCCAAGATCAGGGTGCCAGCATGGTCAGGTGAGGACCCTCTTCTACCTCTCCAATTTATTGTATCCTCATATGGCAGAAGGGGCTAGGGAGTTCTGTAGGATCACCTCTCAAAGGCCCCACCTACTAATATCACCTTTGGGATTTAGAATTTCAACATATGAATTTAGGGAGGACACAAACAGTCAGACCTTAGCACTTGGTCATTAGTATTTATACCTATATTTTTTTCTAAAAGTTTTATAGTTTTGACTCTTACATTTAGGTCTTGGATTCATTTGAGTTAATTTTTGTATATGTTGTGATATAGGGGTCCAAATTCACTACTTTGCCTGTGGATATCCAGTTATCTGAGCACCAGTTGTTGAAGAGTATTCTGGCCTGGCTGGTGTGGCTCAATGGTTGAGCATCGACCCATGCACCAAGAGGTTGCTGGTTCGATTCCCAGTCAGGGCACATGCCCAGGTTGTGGGCCAAATCCCCAGTGGGGAGCATGCAGGAGGTGGCCAATTGATGGTCTCTTTCATCGATGTCTCTATCCCTCTCTCCCTCTCTCTCTAAAACTCAAAAAAAGAAAAAAAATTAGTTTTAAAAATAGAAGTTTTAAAAAAAGAAAAAAGGAAAGAGTATTCTGGCTGGTATGGCTCAGTTGGTTGAGCATCCTCCAGTGCATCAAAAAGTTGCTGGTTCGATTCCTGGTTAGGGCACATGCCAGGATTGTGGGTTCAGTCCCTGGTAGGGGCTGGGCCTTGCAAGAGGCAGCCAAGGAATTTCCCTCTCTCATTGATGTCTCTCTCTCCCTCTCCTTTCCTCTCTCTCTAAAAAAAAATCAATAAAAAAAAGAAAGAAAAGACAATTTTCCCCTATGGAATAGTCTTGAAACCCTTGTCAAAAATCAATTGACCAGCCTGGCCGGTATGGCTCAGTGGTTGAGCATCGACCCATGCACAGGGAGGTCACTGGTTTGATGAAACATCTCTCTCATAGATGTTTCTGTCTTTCACTTCCTCTCTTTCTAAAAATCACTAAAACAAAAGTAATTTTTAAAAATTTATTTATTATTATTTTTTTATCCTTACCTGAGGACATTTTTCGATATTTTTTGTTCAGATAGAGTGGGCAAGGGAGAGAGAGAGAGACAAACATCAACGTGAAAGAGACACATGGAGTGGTTGCTACCCACACGACCCAACCAGGGCTGGGGACAAACTGCAACCGAGGTACGTGCCCTTAGCGGGAACCGAACCCGGGTCTCTGCGGACTGCAGGCCGATGCTCTAACCGCTGAGCCAAACCTGCCAGGGCAAAAAAGTAATTTTTTTAATTAAAAAAAAATTGACCATAAGTGGATAGGTTTTATTATGAACTCTCACTTCTATTCCATTGTTCTATATGTCTATCCTTATAGCAGTACAACACTGTTTTCTTGTTTTATTTTTTAATCCTCACCCAAGGATATTTTTTTCCATTTAATTTTAGAGAGAGTGGAAGGGAAGGAGGGGGAGAGAGAGAGAGACAGAGAAACATGATGTGAGAGAGACACATCGATTGTTTGCCTGGCATACACGCCCCAATCAGGGCCAGGGATCAAACCTGCAACTCAGAGATGTGCCCACGACCGGGAATCGAACCTATGACCCTTCGGTGCTTGGGGTGACACTCTATCCACTGAGCCACACTGGCCAGGGCACAACACTATTTTTGATCAGTAGTATAGCTCTGTAATAAATTTTGAAATTAGGAAGTTTGAGTTCTCCAACTTTGTTGTTTACAAAATTGTTTCAACATTGCTATTCAAGGGCCCTAGCAATTCCACATTAATTTTAAGGTCAACTGTCCATTTCTAAAATAAATAAATTGAAATTTGATAGCAAATTAAATAAATCTATAGATTAGTCTGAGGAGTATTACAATCATAACACAATTACGTTTTTCAATCGAAAAACAGGATGTCTTTCCATTTATTTCTTCTTTAATTTCTTTCAATAATGTTTAATTTTTTTTATTAAAGTGTAGTTGACATACAATATTAGTTTCGGGTGTACAACATAGTAATTCCACACTTACATATCTTACGATGTGATCACCACAATAAGTCTAGTAACTCTATGTCACCATACAAAGTTTTTACAATATTTTTGACTGTTCCTTTTTTGTAATATGACTCATAATATAGCAAACAGGTCATCCTACTGAAAACAACAAAACATGTTGGTGAAATATTGAAGAGTCAACAAGAAGATAAGGAATTATCAGACCAAAATCTAGGTGAAGACAGAATCCAAAGAGTAAGTAGAGCAGTGATGTCACTTTTACCCTAGGGCATTTACCTTACTTGGCAACTTAAGCTTGGTTTTTCTAGGCCTCATGGGGCAAGTGAGACAGACTGGGACCTCAAAGTGCTATAGTTCCAGCATAAGGGTGAATTGCAAGTAAACACACCCCCACCCAACAGACTGGAAAGAAAGTTTTCTTGGAAGGGGAGGATCTCAGGGAGCTGTAGAGGGGGCACTGGACCTATCAGACAGCCCTCTTGGATATATAACCCAAATACACATCTCTTTTTTTAAAACAGGTTTTTATTGATTTTTTAGAGAGAAATGAAGGGGGAGAGAGAAACATTGATGTGAGAGAGAAACATCGATTGGCTGCCTCTTGCACTCCCCCCCCCTACTAGGGATTGAGCCCACAACCCGGCCATGTGCCCAGTCCAGGAATCAAACGGGGACCACCCAGTCCATGGGATGATGCTGAAGCCACTGAACCACACCAGCTGGGCCAAATATATATCTCTTAATGGTTAAAAAAAAAAATCCCACCCAGCTGGTGTGGCTCAGAGGTTGAGTATGGACCTATGCACCAAGAGGTCGCTGGTTCGATTCCTGGTCAGAACACATGCCCACATTGTGTGCCTGATTCCCAATGGGGGACATGCAGGAGGCGGCCAATCAATATTCTCTCTCATGGATGTTTCTCTCTCTCTCTCTAAAAGCAATAAAGAAAAAATTTTTTTTAAAAATCCCAAACAATGGCCTAGCCAGTTTGGCTCAGCGGTTAGAGCGTCGGCCTGCGGTCCGGAGAGACCCGGGTTCGGTTCCCGCTAAGGGCACGTACTTCGGTTGCAGTTTGTCCCCGGCCCTGGTTGGTCGTGCGGGTGGCAGCCACTCGATGTGTCCCTTCACGTTGATGTTTCTCTCTCTCTCTCTCCCTTACTCTCTCTCCCTCCCACTCTATCTGTACAAAAAATGGAAAAATATCCTCGGGTGAGGATAAAAAAAAAAAAGAAATACAGAAAAATCCCAAACAATGAATATAGTTTAAAGTAGTCCCTCCTGGCAGAATTGAAAGCAAATTCTTTTTAGAGGAATTAACCTATGTCCTAGGCCTCAAAAAATTTCCAGAAATAGCCCAGCTTGTGTGGCTCAGTGGACTGAGCATCAGTTCCATGAACTGATAACTCCCATGGATTGAGAGATCCTGGTTCAATTCCCAGTCAGGGCACATGCCAGGGATGTGGGCTCAATCCACAGTAGGGGATGTGCAGGAGGCAGCCTATGGATGTTTCTCTCTCACACAGATGTTTCTATCACTCTTTCTAAAAAATCAATAAAAACATTTAAAAAAATAAAATATATACTTTCAAATGAGTAGTTTTGGCTTTAAAAAGATTTAAATACCATTTTGTTTCCAGAATATATTAATATACTCCTTTTGTAATTACTAAGCAAATTATTAGGGCTACCAAAAGTAATAGTGGTAATCTTAGGAACAAAACACTCTAGGGAAATTTTACAGGAGGCTAGTCTAGCTGAAGACCTGTTACCTTTCTAAGGTTTCTCCTTTCCTTGTTCCCTATTAAAACATAGAAATTTTAAAGCGCTATTGATAGCTCAGCTCTTTTTTTTTTTAAGTGTGTGTTTTATTTTTATTTTTTAATTTTTTTATCCTTACCCGAGGACATTTTTTCATTTTTTGTTCAGATAGAGTGGGGGGAGGGAGAAAGAGAGAGAGAGAGAGAGAGAGAGAGAGAGAGAGAAACATCGATGTGAAAGGGACACATTGAGTTGCTGCCACCCACAGGGCCCAACCAGGGCCAGGGACAAACTGTAGGTACATGCCCTTAGCAGGAACCGAACCCAGGACTCTCTGGTCCGCAGGCCGAGGCCCTAACCGCTAAGCCAAACCAGCCACGGTGATAGCTCAGCTCTTAATATCCTAGTTTGTGCTGTGGGTTAGACCAAAAATTTTTAGTCATGTTGTGAAGTTAGTCCAATGATTGGTTTTTACTATCGTTCTAATTATGTACTTTGAAACATAAGGTAAAAGAGTTTATGACTAAATTAGGAGATGGGTTCCTGCTTCAGCTTTGTCAATAATTTGCTGTGTGACCTTGGCAAGTCACTCAACCTTAGTATTCTCTCCTGTGTAAACAATGATCAAGATAGAACGTTAGACTTGGCAGAGACTTCAGAGTTTACACAGTACAATTTCTTCATTTCGTGGAGAGGTTGAGTGACTTAACCCATGTGCTTTCTGGAACAAGCTTTCAGTCTTTGGCCTCTCAGATCAGTGCTCTTTTTGATCAGGCTTCTTTCAGGGTTGTTCCAAGATTCAAATAAACAAAAAACCCAAAAAGTGAAAACACTAAACAAATATAAGGCCTTTCACACAAAGCCAAACACAGCTAACAGTTAACCTGCACTGTAGCCATCAAGCTTATCTGAAAATACACCCCGTTTAACTTAAAGATGATTTAAAATTCGAAACTATGGAAGGAAGAGTCAGAAAAACAAAAGGTAGGAAAAAAAATTCGAAACTATGGAAGGAAGAGTCAGAAAAACAAAAGGTAGGAAAAAAAATGAATGGTTGGCTTGGCGAATACCTGTAAAAGGAAAACAAAACTCACACAGGAATACTTTTGTTCTTTTACCGATTCTTTCTGTTATTTCCCCTAGTTTGTACAAGGTTAAATTGGGGAAGTGGAGGCTGCCTGTTTTCACACATTTCTGAAGGAATGGTGGGCCCTACGGGTTACTTGAGATGGAATTACCTTACGTATACTACACCCTACATCAGTTCTCTAATTCAACGCCATCCTCTCATGCCACTGACCCAAACAACGCTCTGAAATCGCAGAAACTACAGTCAACGCAAAAACTCCCACTCCCGTAATGCTTGATGGCTTGTCTCCTCCGCCTCCTCGCTGGAGAAATCTCTTCGGTACCGGGAGTTGCGGTCATTCAGGGCCCTCGCTTCCGGGGTGTGGGGAGGATGCGCCGCCGGAGAACTACATTTCCCAGGAAGCTGTGCGTAGGGTTCTCCGCCTTTGCCTGCGTCGGACTCCGCCCCATCCCGTTCTTCCCTCCCTGGGCTGCGCTGCTCACGCCTTCCTGTTAGTCGGAGCTGGGAGAAGTTCACTCTGATCAGCTGATCCCAACTGACAACAGGAGAGGAGGAAGCCCAGGAGGCAGCGAAGGAGGAGGGGGGCGGAGATGGAGATGAGGTTGGATCCACCGGTGCCCTGAGGCACAGCCCCCGCCCCCACTTGCGCCCCGCGGTCCCCCGACGCCGCCTGGCCGCGGCCGAGCTGCTCCGTGGTGGGGTCCGCTGGCCGCCGCGGGCAGGGAGGGAAGGGCACAGCCCTGCGCAGGGCGAGCAATAGTCCTGGAGCTCCGGCTGCCCCCGAGAGGCGGGGGGAGGCGGGTGCGGCTGTTGTGGGGGTGGGGTGGGATAAACAATGGATTCGGCTCTCGCCTCTGCCAGTGTTTGTGGGTGATTTGGGGGGACCTTCTTTGTTCTTAGACTCTGCTCCTACCCCTCGGGTTGTGGTGGTGGTGCCCGGGAGGAAGGAAGGGTGAGGAAACCCCAGCTGGAGAGAGATGTCGAGGTAGGGGGCAGAGTGGGCAGATTGTTTGCTTTGCCTGGAGGGCGGTGAGGTGTTCTTTTGAAGGCTGATTTTATAATTTTCTCAGTTGTGGCAAATACTGATTTTTGTTTCCGGGTGGGAGCTGGTTGGGCACGTCTGAGGTTAGAGTGTAAATAAGGTCTCCTAGTCACTCCCTTCGCCTTGTTTATCTAAAAATAAGATTGATAGATTGATTACTGTGGAGGAGGAGGAGGGAATATCTGAAAGGAGGGCTTTGCGTTTCGTCGGGGCGCTAGAATGGGTGTCAAGGCTAAGGGGAGTTAGGAATATAATTGTAGAAGTGACAAAAGCCCCTTTCCTGCCCCAGTTTTTTTTTTTTTTTTTTTTAAGTTATTTTTAAGTTTTTGAGTTAAAAAGAGAAAAAATGTTTTAACTCACTGCAGGTCTGGCTTTGCTGTGGGCCATAGTGGAGGAATTCTGTCTCCTGTTGCTCCCTTTTTTGCAGTTAGAGAAGGAACAAAAGGAAGTACAATAATTGTTTAATATTGTTTTCAAGCATGAAACGGTAACTCTGGTTTCCAGGTTTAGAGTCTTTAATAGGCATCTGTCTAGAGTTGAAACAACTCTAGGACTTGAATGGAGCTAACGTTTATTATTATAATTTCTTTAGTTTTTGCAGACATCTTTCTTCACCTCTTCCAATTGTGGAGTGCATGTGGGGGTGCAGAATTTTGTCCCTCCAAGGACTTTTTGCTCAGTGGTTTTTATTCTGAATTTAATACCTGAGTAAACCGAGAATTTCAGCCTTGGAAATAAAACAGCAAAGTCTCTTAAATGTTTTGGGCCTAGAGGTAGTGGTTATTTTCAAAAGGACCTTTGCCTGTGATTTTGAGAAGAAATTGCTAGGATCAGAATGAGCCAGTATAAATTTTACAAACAAGAATGAGATTTCTTTAAGAAGTTTTGGTATTTAATAACAATCTTTTTTTTAAGGTGCACTTTTGTTTTTAGATAAGTGAAAACATTTGCTTTCCTCTATTCTAGGTATTCCCTGAAATACTAACTTGAGGTTGGATTATACTGAAAAGCTGCTGAACACTCTTTTCAACAAAAACTTTGTGCTTGAGGCCCAACCAATGAGTCCACCTCAGTGAACCCATCAAATCTCTCTCACGTAGCCATAGAAGACCCTTCTAAGTTAATTTTGACCACGTATTTGTTTGCACTTTATGGAAAATGAAACCATCAAACCAAATCAACATTGCTGCTGATATTGAAGTTTTGGAGGCAGAAAATTAAAAATTTGAATATTTGTGAATGTGTGAAGAATTCTAATGAGACACTGAGGGGTGTGTGTGTGTGTTGAAAGTGTTCAGAACCCTGTGGTATTTCTGTGCATTCTTCAGACTTAAAGCCTTTGTCTTCACTTCTGGGGAAAGCCCAGCGACTGTTTTATGGTGAGTGATTTCCTTACCAAACTGAGTATGAGTGCTCAGACTTTCCCAGCACAGAAGGGCCTGAATCCAGGGCTGATGTGCCAGGAGAGTTACGCCTGCAGTGGGACTGACGAAGCTGTCTTTGAATGTGATGAGTGCTGCAGTCTGCAGTGTCTCCGCTGCGAGGAGGAGCTCCATCGGCAGGAGCGCCTGAGAAACCATGAGCGGATAAGACTCAAACCCGGCCACATCCCTTACTGTGACCCCTGCAAGGGCCCTAATGGGCATTCACCAGGTGTTAGACAGAGGGCAGCAGTGAGGTGCCAGACCTGTAAAATCAACTTGTGCCTGGAGTGCCAGAAGAGGACTCATTCTGGGGGTAACAAAAGGAGACACCCCGTTACTGTGTACCATGTCACTAAGGTCCAGGAGTTACTGGAGGAAGAAGAGATGGATGAGGAGACTAAGAGGAAGAAGATGACTGAGAAAGTTGTGAGTTTCCTCCTAGTAGATGAAAATGAAGAAATTCAGGTAAGCACCTGGGGATTCATGTGGTAGTGGAGCAGATCTGTTATTGGAAGGTAGCTCTCAAAAGGGAAGTCCCAGAAGAGCTCACATTTTGATCATTGAAAGGCAAGACCTCTGAAAGCATAAATTGCAAGGAGTCAGGTTTATTTTATTATATTTTATTTTATCCTCACCCAAGGACATTTTTGCATTTATCTTCAGATAGAGCAGCAGGAGGGAGGGAGAGAGGGAGGAAGAGAGAGAAAGAAACATCGATGTGAGAGAGACACATTGAGTGATTACCACCCACACAATCCCAACTGGGACTGGGGACAAACTGCAACCAAGGTACATGCCCTTAGCGGGAACCCAACTCAGGACTCTTGGTCCACAGGCTGATGCTCTAACCACTGAGCCAAACCGGCCAGGATGCAAGGAGTCAGGTTTAGTTACTCACTAGCAGTGTGACCTTGGGCTGAGTTTCTTCCGAGCCTTAGTTTTCTCATATATAAATTGGGAACATTGACTACTTCATTGGGTTGTTGTGAGGATGAAATGGCACAGTGTATAGCCTATTGCACAATAAGTGCTCAGTATAGGTAGCTATTATTATTAGGATGAACTTATTCAGAACAGTTTTCTGACTGAGAACATTTTGGCAAGTTGTGAATAAATGTGAATGAAGAGGGGTTGTACTGTGTGCAGCGAAAGAAACACTGATAGTCCCATGGGAGAGCCAGGCAATGTCATAAACCTGCTGTCTCAATTTAGGGAAGCAGGTCTTTAAAAAGTGGCATTTAAGACCTGGCTGGTGTGGCTCAGTTGGTTGGAGCATTGTCTGTCTCATGCACCAAAGGTTGTGGGTTCGATTTCTGGTCAGGGCTCGTGGGGGGGGGGGGCAACTGGTTGATGTGTCTCTCTTACATTGATGTTTTGCTCTCTCTCTCCCTCTCCCCCTTCCTCCCTCTCTGAAATCAATTAAAAACATTCTTTTTAAAAAGTGGCATTTGATAAGGATAGTATTCTCTCTAGATGGGCTCTTCTTTTCATGTATAGGCTTCTGATCAGTAAAAGCCAGTGAGGGCACCTGGAATTACAGGATTGGAGAACATTTGATTTGATTCTGAGTTGGGGAGAGCATAGTGTATGACATCTAGAGGAGATTGGGGGAAGGGGTAGTATCGTGTGTATACTTTCCAGAGAATGTAATACAAGGTCTATGCTTCGCGTGAAGACCACTTGAATTCATATCCTGGCTGTAATACTGGCTATATAACCATGGGCAAATTATAAGCTCCATGCCTCAGTTTCACTTCTGCTTCATAGCAGTAGTTGAAAGGATTCAGAGAGATTAGGAATGGGAAGGATTTATCATAGGGCCCAGCACATAGTGTCCACTACCAGTCTGTTGTCTTTGTACCAGTATTTATTTAACAATTTTGTTTTTTCTTTATTGATTTTAGAGAGGAAGGGAGAGGGAGAGAGAGATAGAAACATTGATGATAGAGAATATCGATTGGCTGCCTCCTGCATGCCTTGCTCTAGGGATTGGGCCCACAACCTGGGCATGTGCCCTGACCAGAAATCGAGTCAGCAACCTCGTGGTGTATGGGTCGACGCTCAACCACTGAGCCACACTGGCTGGGCTGTACCAATACATTGACTCAGTACTTTTATTTATTTATTTATTTATTTTGGGGGGTACATGCCCCTAGCGGGAACCGAACCCAGGACTCTGGTCCTCTCTGGTCCGCAGGCTGATGCTCCAACCACTGAGCCAAACCAGCCAAGGCTGACTCAGTACTTTTAGCTGTGCTGACTCCTCAAGTCTTCAGATTGCAGGAGTACCTATGTAAATTAACCATTTGAAAAATTTCCAATTACCCACTAAATTTTTGTTGTTAATCCTCACCTGAGGATATTTTTTCCATTAATTTTTAGATAGAGTGGAAGGGAGAGGGAAAGAGTAAGAGAAACATTGATGTGAGAGAGACACATTGATTGGGTGCACCCGGACCAGGACTGGGATTGAATCTGCAACCCAGGTATGTGCCTTTGACTGGGAATCAAACCCATGACCCTTCAGTGTGTAGGCTGATGCTCTAACCACTGCTCAGGGTACCCACTAAATATTTTTTATCTGTCTTTTTCTTTCTTGGATAAGCTTATGGAAATGAGTTACATCATGTTTCTTATTATGTACAGTAGGCCTCCTCTTGGAGTATATATTCCAAAACCCCCAGTGGATACATGACACTATGGATAGTACTGGACCCTATATATACTGCTTTTTCCTATGATAAAGTTTAATTTATAAATTAGGCACAGTAAGAGATTAATAACAATAACTAGTAATAAAATGGAATAATTATTTTAATATGCTTTGAAAAGAATTATATGAATGTGATCCTTGTCAAAATATCTTATTGTACTGTATATACAGTGTGGATACGCTGGACAAAGGAATGATTCATTTCCCAGGAGGGATGGGGTAGGATGGTTCGAGATTTCATCACACTACCCAGAACAGCACACAGTTTAAAACTCATGAATTGTTTATTTCTGGAATTTTTTATTTAATATTTTGGGACCACAGTTGATGGTGAGTAACTGAAACTAGCAAGTGAAACCATGGATAAAGGGGGACTACTATACTTCCATTGTCAGCTACTTTGCTCACACAGACTTTTCTTTATTGGCTGAAGGGAACTAAAAGGGTTATGGAAGAGTGACGCAGATCCCCATTCTGCTTCTTGTTAGCAATAATGTCTTCATTATGAAGTATGCTCTAATTGGGTGACAGTGTGGACTAAATATTTTATAAGTGGAGCACTTGCTTTTGGGTGGTTCTTGTTGGTTCTGCCACCAGTTTAGTGTCTTTGGAAAGTAACATTTCTGGTTACTGTCACTTTCATAAAGTGAGAGGAAGATTTGGGAGGAACCAATAATCATGGATATTATGTTGGCATCAAAAAGAATACTTTTTGAGGGGAAGAGGATGTGTATTTTTTTTCTTTCGTAGTATTGATACTACAAAATGTTCCTTAGGAGAGAACTGGGAAAATAAAAGGAAGTGTAATGAAGGTAAATCCAACTACTCAGAAATGGTATTTGTCCATCTTTTTTTTCTTTCTTATAGTGTGTAATATGTATGTAACTGGGTTGTTTGTAAAGATTTCTCCCTTCATGCCCTGGCCGGTTTGGCTCAGCAGTTACAGCGTCGGCCTGCGGTCCAGAGAGAGAGACCTGGGTTCGGTTCCCGCTAAGGGCATGTACCTCAGTTGCAGTTTGTTCCCGGCCCTGGTTGGCCGTGCGGGTGGTAACCACTAGATGTGTCCCTTTCACGTCGATGTTTCTCTCTCTCTCTCCCCCTCCCACTCTGTCTGAACAAAAAATGGAAAAAGTGTCCTCGGGTGAGGATTAAAAAAAAAAAAAGATTTCTTCCTTCATAAACATTGACCACTTCCCAGGAAATAAGTTTATTAATTACAAGCAGCATTGGTTGAGACTAATGTATTGGACATAGAATTTTAGGCGGTGATTCGTTCTCTTAGAGTCATAGGTGGAAAAGTACTTTGAGAAAATATCTGGTTCAGTTTTTAGTGTAAATGTTGAAAACAATTAGATGATTGTCTGATACAAATCTGGATTATAAAGTCAGCTAGCTAGATTGTAAACTCCTGGAGAGCAGGACTATGCCTTGCACCTGTATCATGTACAGTGGTAGGCATGATATCAGTGTGTAAATATTTGATTGATTGGTGATGTCACATCTCAACTTCAGTTGAAAAAAAAATTGATTTGAGAGAGAGGAAGGGAGGGAGAGAGAGAGAGAGAGACAGACAGATATAGATCAGTTGTCTCCTATATGTACCTTGACCGGGGATTGAACTTGAAAACCTGGGTACGTGCCCTGACCAGGAATCGAATCCGACACCTTTGGTATACGGGATAACACTCCAACCAACTGAGCCACTCCAGCCAGGGCTCATCTTCAGTTTTTTGTTTTTACTTTTTATTATTTTAAAAAATTCTTTATTGTTGAGAGTATTACAGGTGTTCTCATCTTCAGCTTTTAAAAAACGGATATTGCCCTGGCCAGTTTGGCTCAGCGTCTAGAGCATTGGCCCACAGACCAAAGAGTTGCGGGTTCAATTCTGCTCAAGGGCACATACCTCGGTTGCAGTTCGGTCCCTGGCCCTGGTCGGGGTTGTGCGGGAGGCGCCCAGTCGATACGTCTCTCTCACATTGATGTTTCTCTCATTCTCTCCCTCTCACTCTATCTGAAGATAAATGGGAAAATATCCTCCAGTGAGGATTAAAAAAAATAAAAATAAAAATGGATATCACACACATACCTAGTAAAGAACATTAAAATGATATAAAAGGCCATTCACTGACAAGAGCTTCTCTCCTACTCTATAACCTTAGCCTCCTTTCTTAGAACAACCACCATTAACAGATAACGGCATGCTGTTATAAAATTTTTTCATGTAGCGCTGGCTGGTTTGGCTCAGTAGATAGAGCGTCGGCCTGCGGTCCAGAGACCCAGGTTCAGTTCCTGCTAAGGGCACGTACCTCGGTTGCAGTTTTTCCCTGGTCGTGCGGTGGCAGCCACTCGATGTGTCCCTTTCACGTCGATGTTTCTCTCTCTCTCTCTTTCCCTCCCACTCTATCTGAACAAAAAATGGGAAAAAAAAGTCCTCGAGTGAGGATAAAAAATAAAATAAAATTTTTTCATGTATACTCATTAATGTATGTATCCTTTTAATTTTTAAACAAAAATTGAACCTAATATACTTTCTATTTTGTCCTTGTTTTTTTTTATTTTTCACTAAATGATACATCTTGTAGTGTGCTCTCCCTCTCGGAAGCATGCCAGTACCTTTCCCATTCACCTTGCCTTCCCCCCAGGTACATTACCTTTGCCTTTCCCTCTCCTAAGCGCCAAGGGCCCTTTTTTTGCTTCTGTACATTGTTTCCTAAGCCTTTGCAGCCCAGCTGGCTCACTTCTACTTACCTCT